TGCTCCAACAAGAGCCTCGGCCCTTATCTCTGCAGGGCTGGCAGCCAGGGAGATGTTAATTGGGATTTAATGAGGTGAACACGGCTCTTGACAAAGGTTGGAGCTCTGACATCCCTGGGGTGCTGCAGGGAAGGGGCTGTGCCCACCTGGAGACCACGGGTGGGGTCATTTCTGTAGGGCAGGGCTTGTGGCTTCTCCTGGTGGGGACCCGGCGTGCAGGGCAGAGGGGACAGGTGTGGTGACCCCTGGAAGGGGGTGTGGAGGGGACACGGGGGTTGGAAGCGCCGTGTGCTGGGAGGTGACGTGGTGTTAATCTGCTTTTCACGAGCTCTGCTGAGGAACTGAGCAGCGAGTGCCGACACGTTGTGGGTTCTGAAGGGATCTTGGCACTGGGGCCGGCGCTGGCTCTGGAGCTGCAGGTGGGAGCATGGAGGGTGCAAGGCCTGGGGAGAAAAAAAAAAAACACCAAGGCAGAAGTTTCTATTTTTAGCTGCAGAGTGCAAATGCAGGGAGCTGCTGAGGAGTTAATCACCTGCCCCAGAGATGACTGGCTGGGATTTCTCTCTAAGTGCAAGGCTTACGGGATGGGGTGCAGGAACCGTGCCAGGTGTGTTGGCCACCCAGGTCTCCCCCGGGACGGGTGACAGGGATGCCAGGATGTCCCTGAGCCGGGTGCTGTGCCTGGGGAGATGCTGAGCCACAAGGAGCAGCTCGCTGGGCAGCCACACCCCCACGTGTGGCAAAACCTCAGGGTTTTAACGAGCGAATTTAATGCAGTGTCCTGCTGTTTTGGCCAGGTTTCCATATCAATCCTTAATCTATTTTTGCAGCCGCTGTTGGAGGTGGTGGCTATTTGTGTGTCTGCTACAGCCCCATCACAACTCATCCCATTTCCTCCTGGCACAGGAGCGTTTGTGCTCGCAGGGGCTCCCTGAGCGTTGCCAGGTGGGAATTTGGATCCAGGTCCTGCCTTGGCACAGGGCTGGGGTGCCACAGCATCCCTTCAGCCACTTTGCTGCTGCTGGGTTCCTCCTGGCTTCCTAAAATAAAGGATAGCCCAGTCTATCACCCGCCCCTGAGCAGCGATGGGGACCCGGCAGCCACCTGCCCCGGGTGACACCACAACCTAATGACATTTCTGGGTGGCTGCACTGTCAGTCCCACAGCTCATTACTGCCACTAATTAACTCGGCTGCTGCCCTGCGCCTGGTTTGATCTATAGTCACAATTTGTTCCCATTTTGGCAGGAGTTCTCCCCCACTTGGCCGCAGGAGCTGCCTCCGAGGCCCAATAATGACATTTGAGGGTTTCTTTTCCATGGTAAAAGTGGAGCCCTCGGCACAGGGGGGTGCTTGGGTGGGTGGGTGGGTGATGGTGGGTGCTCCTGAGCAGCTCCTGGAGCCAACACCCGCCAGAGGCAGGGTGGGGGCTGCCCTGGTTGGGGCCCGAGTGGTGTCAGTGAGCAGCTCCCATTAGTCCACTTAATTGTGAAGCAAATTAATCCATGTATCCAATTTAACTTCTAAGGCTTTGCCTAATGAGTTAATGTGTGGAAGAGCTGGGGGAGGCCGGGTTATCTGCGATTCTGACCCTGGGAGGTGCTGCAGCCTTGGCTGGTGTGGGCTCAGGGACCCACGGACGGGCTGGGATGTGCCGGTGGCTCCCAGGGGGCTCTGCCAGGGCTGTGGGGATGCTGTGGAGCAGGGCAATGGCATTTCCCCATCCTGCAGCTGCCCCGAGAGCAGAGCAGGACAGCAGCACCTCGATTTGGGAATGTTTGTTTCGGGGAATGTGGTTTTGCTCCGTCACCACCTCCTCCATCTTTTTTGCTTCCAAAGGGCTGCTCCTGGGCAGGGGGTGGGATCGTGCCAGGGCTGCAGCCAGCGGGGCCTCGGTGTGTCGATAATGCTGCTCTTAATTGAGGACCATCTGCACTTGGTAATTTAATTTTTCCTACATCTGCAAGGTTCCAACTTTGTTTATCTGACATCCTGAGGATTATTTAACTTCGGAGCCTCGTGTTCCTCCAGCCCAGGCACTCCAGGCATTCCACTGCAGCCCCTGCTAGACGAGATTTTAATAACGCTGTCACTGCCCCAGGAAAAAGGACACGTTAAAATCTGGAATTGGGAAGGGCAACAGCAGAGCTGATTTGCAGGGATGGTTTCCCTGCCCGAATTTGCGTGGCAGGAGGCTGCTGGGAGTGTTACCTCTGTTATAACAAACTGTGTGAGATGAGGAGCGAGCCCTGAGCACCACAAGCCCTCCCAGTGCCCGCAGGGCTGGCAGCACATTTCACGTCTCAGTGCATTGACACGCGTCGTCTTTTGTCTTTGGATGCTTATTAGCAGCTCAGCCCCCAGCTGTGCCTTGGAAAGGCTGTCAGGAGGGAATTGAGGCAGCTCCTTAAAAAAATAATAGTAGTAATTGGAAGCTGGAAAGTCTTTTAGCTATGGTATGGGGGGAGACTTGAGCATCTGGTTCATCTGAACCACACCAGTTTGTGCTGCTGGCAGCAGCTCCTGCCCTTTCCCACCCCAGCTCCTGCCTTTTCCCATCCTGCTCCTCCTACCTTCTGCTTGGCTTCTTCCCCCTTTTTTTGCAGCCACCTTGTGCTTGGGGCAGGCAGGGGTCTCAGAATCCCAGGATGGTTTGGATTGGCAGAGACCTTAATCCACCCCCTGCCCTGGGCAGGGACACCTTCCACCAGCCCAGGTTGCTCCAAGCCCCGTCCAACCTGGCCTTGGACACTTCCAGGGCTGGGGCAGCCGCAGTCTCCCTTGGCAAATGTCTCTGGGATGCAGGCAGGGATGGCAGCAGAAGTGAAGCTCTGGCTGGATCTGGCTGTGTCTCCTGCCTGCAGGGGCATTTCTGCAGCTCCTTGCCCTGGAAACCCGCTCTGTTCCACACCCAAACCCCAGGAAATCCATTTTTTTCCCCAGCCTGGTCCAGCAGCACCTGGATCCATGTGCAGACTGTAATTAGGTCTAAGCATTTCCCCCCCTAAAATGTAGGTCAGTCGTAATTAGTGTCACTCCTGCTGCTGTTGCCGGCTCCGTGTTAATTAACTCCTGAAGTGCAGGTCAATGCGTGAAGGGCAGCTTTGGAGCTTCAGCTTTTTCGGCTGCTCACCAGGTGCTTCGAGGTGGCTTTGGCTCAGATGGTCCATGCTGAGGGCTCGGGCCATGTTGTCCCTCCCACTGGTGGTGGCCAGTGACCCTTGGAGCGTGGCCACCCTGGGGACGTGGCCGTGTCCCCGTGCTCAGCCTCACTCTGCTCTGGGCTGCACGTGCTGCTGTGGCTGTGGGGAAGGGCACCTGTTTGGTGCTGGTTTCAACATGAAGCTCCTGATGTCCTTGTCCCTTGGCCTCAGCCATCACACCCAGTGCAAGGTGCTTGTGCCGAGACCCAGGGCCGATGGGGAGGTGCGGAGTCTTTTCCTGGCACGGTGGCCCTGGCACAGTCCCTGGCAGGGGGTATTGGCAGCTGGTTGCTGCCAACTGGGAATGGCATTTTGACAAATGCTGTGCCCCTGCAGAGCACCTCGTGGCAGTGGAAACCCTGGGTTTTAGGCACTTCAAGCCTTCAGCAGCCCCGGCTTGCCATCGTGGGAAAGGCTCAGCTCCGTGTTTGGGGAGTCCCAAGCCCCCAGCCAGCTCCCCGAGCCCCCGGCTGCTCCCCGAGCACTTTCCAGCTCCCCCACCCCACACCCTGGCTGCCTATTTTTACCGCTCCTGGGCTGTGAATCACTTTGCTCCCCCGTCTCAGTTGCTGCCTTTGAAGGTATTTATAAACCTCGACCGTCTCCCCTGCGCCTGCCTGAGCAGACGGTGGATGCAGCGCTCCGGCTCCTCCTGCCCTCTCCTCCTCGCCCGTCTCCGAGTGGAGGTGTGCAGGAAACGAGGTGCTCCCTCAGTGAAGAGCCTCCCCAGCACTGTCCTGGCGGGGTGAGGCTGGGCACCAGCATCCCGAGGGTCCTTGGTGCCAGGCAGTGTGGGATGAGCAGGGATGGATCTCGGCGTGTGCCTGGGAAGGGTTTGGTGGCACCGGAGCTGGTGGCGTGTCCGGTGCTGGAGGTGGGGGAGCCGGGGCTGAGCTGGGGGAGCCCAGCCCAGAGTTGGGGCAGCCTTGGCCATCCCATGTCCTGGAGAGAGGGGAGCTCCCCATGCCAGTTCTGGAGGAAAAGGGACTCAAATCATCACTAGAGCAGCGACCGGCTGCCTCATCCCGCTGGTGTGCAGTTCCTTGGCCGCGTTTCCAGCACGTTCCAATAATTACTGTGGTAATTTCTGTGCATCTGGCAGGCAAATTAATCTCTGCTCCTTCGCCTGGGGCCGCTGGTCTGTAGGATTGCGCTTGGTTGGTGTTTGGAGAGCCTGGTGTGGCTCGCTGGCTCGGTGGTTGCTCTGAGACACGGTCAGGATCTGTCCCCTGCCCTGCCTGGAGGGGCACCAATGGGCTCCCCACGCTGCTCCCAACTCTGCCAGGGCATCCTTCTGCAGAAAGTATCCTGTTGTTTTGGGGAAAATCCAGTGTGCCCCCTCTTTTCCTCCTTTCTACCTTTCCTAAAACTAAGAAAAACAAGGGGGGAAAATGAGAGAGAAACCAGGAGAAAAACAGAGGCAGGAGGAGGAGTTATTTTTAATTTGCTGCCTGGACATGGAGTGGTTGGCTCTGTCTTTTGCAGGCTGTTAAGGTGGGATGCTGGTGCTCATTAATTTATGACCAGAGGTCTCCAGCCCGAGCCACTCGTGGTTTCAGTACCCAAATAGATGCAGCTTGTGCTGAAACAGGGAGGGAACCTCTGGCTGGGCCATGGTGCAAATGGCTCTGCAGGCACTAGGACTGAGTGTGCAAGTTTAAAAAGCAGGAGAGGGGTCAGGCCAAGGGTTTGATGAAATGCTGTCCCGGAGGGGGGCCGGGTGTCTGTGTGTCTCCCTGGGGCCCTGGGTGAACCAGAGCCACGCTCACCCCTCACCACTCCTTCTGTTTTCTTTCAGAACAAGGTGCTGACGGTGGATGGGGTGAAGGTGAAGCTGCAGGTACGTCCCATGGCCCTGGGAGCAGCTCCCTCACCCCCTGGGTGTTCAGAGCTGGGCAAAGCCTTGGCAGAGGAGCAACCCTGGCACAGGTCCCCCTTCTCCAGCTTTTATCTCCTGCCACAGGACAGCCCTGCAGCCCTTCTGGCTGCTCTGTGCCTTTGGTGGGAGCCTGCTCGGGGCTGGGGGCTGTTCTGGCCTCGGTGATCCCTGTCCCAGCCCTGCTGCTTCCCTGCTGCTCCCTGACTGCAGCTGGAGCCGGTGAAACCAGAGCAGCACCTGAGGGGTTTGCTCAGCTTTTCCAGGCAGCTCCTGCTTTGGCAGAGCCAAAGGATGGTGATCCTCAGAGGGATCTATGTTCCCTGGCTCAGCCAGAATCCAGCCCAGAATGTAGATTTTGTGTCCAGAGCTGCTCCAGCCCCCCGAGACCTGACCGTTTGCCCGGAGCTCGGTAACAGCATTAGCATGGATCCTCCCCAGCAGCAGCGTGGCACTCTGCAAACCTCCAGCTGCATTAAAGACTGATAAATCACATTAGCAAGTCTCCATGCATCCATCTGATCCATGGATTTTCCGATTAAGGGCCGTGCCAGGAGCCCTCGGCCACGCACCGTCGTGTCCCCGCGCTGAGGAGTGGGGAGGTGCTGCTTCCATATTAATTGCTCTTGTCATTTTTCCCTGGAAGCAAAAGCTGGAGAAGCTTCCTGGGGTTGCACCGTGCTGTTTGGGCTGGTTTAGGTGGGCCTTGGTCACGTCTTATCCCTCTGCTCCCGTCTGCTTTCCAGATCTGGGACACGGCCGGGCAGGAGCGCTTCCGCAGCGTCACCCACGCCTACTACCGGGATGCCCACGGTAAGCACGGCCACCTCTGCTTCTGGGGGAGCCCCCTGGAGCTGCCTCTGCAGGCCAGGGGAGCCAGGAATCAGCGGAGCAGTTTCCCCGTGGGAAGCAGCCCCCAGGACAGAGGAGGCTCTGTGTGTCGAGGGGCAAACCCCAGCAGCATGAGGTGTTGCTGTGGGGGATTTTAGTGTTGGTTTACATTTCCCAGCAGGGACCTCCCGTCCCCAGGGGTGACCTGCCTTGGGCACTGGTGCAGAGTGTGCTCTGAGCCAGCACTAATGCCCCATCCCTCTCTCCACAGCTCTGCTCCTGCTCTACGATGTCACCAACAAAGCGTCCTTCGACAACATCCAGGTATGGCAGCACCCCCGGCCCCTCCTGCCCGGCTGGCTGTGGGTCAGCCCAGGGAAGGGAGCACCTGGAGGAGGGGTGTGATGGAGGCAGAGCTGTGGTCACTTACAGAAGGGCTTCTGTGAATCCTGAGCACTTTGCAAGGACAGGTAGGGCACAGGTGGAGAAGGTTTTCCCTCTCACAGCAAATAAAGGGGGTGATGGATTCACTGCTTTGGCACCCAGTGTCTCCCCCCTTTGCCCCACCAGTCCCCTGGGGCTGCTGGGGGCCACCTGTGCCAGCACTGGCAAAGAGGGCTGGAACAGGAGTGGAGTCAGAAGGGAGCTGAGGGGGGTAATCGGGAGTGAGTGAGTCCCCTGGACCTGCCCCCCATGGGACTGAGCGCCCTGAGCCCCCAGGGTGTGGCGGGGTCTGGGGCTGCTGGTTGGGCTCCCACGTGCTATCAGTGACAAACCCTGATCCTGAATCATCCCTCTGTTCCCTGGCTGGGTGCTGATGCAGGATGCTGCTGGGCTCAGAGATGGTGCAGCAGGGATTGCTGGGGATCACCGGCACTTGTGTGAGAGCAGTGTCAGCACTGGAGGCTGTTCACACCGCAGGGTCAGGGATTACAGGGAATTAGGGCAGGTTTGATTAGATTAGGCTGGATTAGAAGGCAGAGAAGCCACCCCATGGCTCAGGGAGGCAGGTTCAGGGGCCTGCTGGGATGAGTGTGCTCGGCATGGGGGCAGCACGTGCAGGACACGGGCACGGGGCACATCCCAGAGCCAACCCTTGGCCTTACCCTCGAAAAGGAGGCTTAGTCTGAGCGTCCCAACCAAGGGGAAATTTGGGCTAAATTCCTAGAGGCACATGTGGGCAAGACAGAGCAGGCAGTGGGGTCGAAAGGCTGCTCTTACCCTTGGAAAGGGGGCCGTGGTAGCAGCCAGAGCAGGTGCTGGGCTTGCTTGGCACAGTGGGTCCCTCATCCACAGAACATCCCTGGCGTTGCTCGGGATGGCAGCATTTCCCACAGGGGTGTCCATGCCCAGGGCTGGGGCTGCTCCCCCTTCTCCTCCTCCTCCCCCTGGGCCTGTTGCCAACCCCCCTCTCTGTCTGTCTCCCTCCAGGCTTGGCTGACAGAGATCCATGAATATGCACAGCAGGACGTGGTCCTCATGTTACTGGGAAATAAGGTGAGCCCGGCCCCACTTTGCCAGAGCCTCCTCTTCCTCCCACGGTGGAGTCACGGGCAGGGGGAGCCTGGCAGGGCATCAGGGGGTGTGGAGGTTACCTGCTGGTGACCTTCCAAATCCCCCCAAATTGCTCTTTGCTGTTCCCACTGCAGGTGGATTCAGCCCAGGACAGAGTGGTGAAAAGGGAAGATGGAGAGAAACTTGCCAAGGTAGGTGAGGTACCTGAGGATGTGCACCAGGAAATGGTCACCTGGAGACCAGTCTGACCCAAAATATGCCTGGGAGCACTTTGCTTTTCTTCCCTTTGTTGTGCTCTCCCCTTCCTCCTCATCTTCTTCCTCTAAGTTTCCACTAACATTTCTTGTTTCTTTATCCTCAAAAATTATTCTCAAAGTTACCTGAGCTGTGATCCCTGGCTCAGTTTTCCCTGCCCACTGTGGGAGGGTTGAGCTCCCTAGGCAGGCACTGACACCGGCCAGAGCCTGGGAGCCCCTGGGAACATCCAGGTGACATTCCTGGTGCTGCTGTTTGTCCTCCCACAGGAGTACGGGGTGCCCTTCATGGAGACCAGCGCAAAAAGTGGCCTCAACGTGGAATTGGCGTTCACAGCCATTGCAAAGTAAGTGACTGGAGCAGCAGCTGTGCTGGGCACCTCTCCTGCAGGGACACAGCAGCCCTTGGGATAATGGCTGGCACTGTCACCCACCTCTTCACGCCACAGGTCCCACCTTCAGCTCCTGTGCTGGCAGAACTTGCCCTCTCACATGAGATGAAATGTCTCATCAGGGGGAGCTTTAACAAACTGTCCAAGCCAGGTTCAGCTGAGCTGGGCCAGCTTGGAATCAGAATCCTGGAATGGTTTGGGTTGGAAGGACCTTAAAGCTCATCCCATTCCACCCCCTGCCATGGGCAGGGACACCTTCCACCAGCCCACGTTGCTCCAAGCCCTGTCTGTCCAACCTGGCCTTGGACACTTCCAGGGATCCAGGGGCAGCCACAGCTTCTGTGGGCAACCTGTGCCAGGGCCTCCCCACCCTCACAGGGGAGAATTTCTTCCCAATATCCAACCTAACCTTGCCCTCTGGCACTGGGAAGCCATTTGCCCTTGTCCTGCCCCTCCAGGCCCTTGTCTAAAGTCCCTCTCCAGCTTCTTCCACACCAAATCCTCTCTCCCAGAAGCACAGGAGCACTGTGTTTCCCCTTCCCACAGGGAGCTGAAGCACAGGTCCATGAAGTTGCCCAACGAGCCCAAATTCAAGCTCCACGACTACGTGAAGAAGGAAGTGCGAGGCTCGGGCTGCTGCAGGTCCTAACGTGTCTGTACAGGGACTCTGGCCGTGTGCATGTCTGTCTGTGTGTCTGTGTCTGCCCCCGAGGTGAGCTGCAAGCAGCAGCAGCAGCAGCAGCAGGAGGAGCTCTCTGGGACGCTGCAGCTGCGTGCTGGGCGCTGCTGCCCGAGCCCCACCGCGGCGCTGAGAGCACTGGGCTCTGTCCCACCACTGCTCCCCCCTGGCAGGGGCTGTTGGGGAAGGGGCTGGGCTGGGGTCTCCTCCCGGGGCCAGCTGTGCCCGCTCTGAGGCTGCTGTCACCGTCGTGAGAGTCGTGCTGTGACACTGGGGAACCAACACCTTCTTCCCCCTGAATTCCCCCTTGTTTCCCTGCCTACCTGGAATTCAGCCCCTGGCCTGGGGCGTGCAGGAAGGACGTGTTTTAGGGCAACCATTTTTGCAGTTGCTTTTTCCTGTCTGTGCATCCCTGTGAGGTGGGACACACCTCCAGGGGTGAGGGATTCTCCTGCTCCCTGCAAACACAGAGCTTGGCTGTCTGTCTGGATGAGCTCCTGCGTACCTGGCCGTTGTACAGAGATCCGTGAATGTTTATCCCTTTGGGAAAGGCTTTGGTTCTCCTCCTTCTGCCGTTTCTAGTCCTTTAATTAAGAAGAAATCTAATGTATCGCAGCTTATTCTAAATACCTTCCTGTTAGTGTGATGGCGTTTTCAGATGCAGCAACGCTTTGATATATTTAAAGTTCTCCTGGGCAGCTCTTTCTTTCCGCCGCAGAGAGCTGGGGGGAAGCTGCAGGCAGTGATTTTACAGGCTGCAGACTCCTGCCAGCTCTCTTCAGGAGCCTCCTCACCCCTTTGGTCTGTGTTAGGCTTTTGGCTGTTTTTTTGTTAAGCTGCACTTCTAAGTACAAATCTGAATCTGGATGAAGTGTTTGGCCTTTGGCAGTTTTTTCCTTTGGAAACTCCACGCTCACATCAGCAGGTGCCCGCCGTGCTGAGCCTCGTGGGCCACTTCACGTGAAAGGAAGTAACCCATCTTTGCCCTCCAGCCACCACCAGCTGGCTCAGACAGCCCTGGCCCTCGCTTTGCTCAGAATTTTGGCTCCAGCACCCCCTTCCTGATGGGCATGAGGAGCCTCTGAGCCCCTCTGTGAGCTGCAGCAACGCGAGCAGCCACAGCTCCACAGGGTGAAAAAGGATCCTGAAATGAACCTACTGAGAACGGAGCATTTTTTTCCTTTTTTTTTTTTTTTTTTTTCAGGGAGAGACAAGTCTTAAAATTGTCTGATTTAAATTTTAAAATAATCTGCAGAAAACCCGTTCCTGCAGGAATGTTCTCATTGCTGGCAAACCCTGCTGCCAGTCCCTCAGGAACAGGCAGGTGAGGGATGGCTGTCAGGGCCCCCCTTGTCCCCCCTCAGCATCCCACAGATCCAAGGGGATGGCCAGCATTCCTCAGTGAGCCTTTCCCTAAAGTAACTGGAGCAACTCCCTTCATCTGAAAAGGGTCAGTACCTGCTGCAGGTGCTCTCCAGATCTGTCTGCAGGTAGCAGAGCCCAGGGCAGGCTCTGAGAGGGGCTCAGGCCAGGAACTGTGCAGGAACATTGTAGAACTGGCTGCTCCAGGTGCCTGGGTGGGTTTTGCTCTGCTCCTGCTGTACTGAGGTGCCCCCAGCCCTTCTTAGAATTCCACCGTGGGCTCTGCAGCATTCACGTGCTGCCTGAGGAAAAGAGTGGGATGTCAGAGAGTCCCCGAGCTTGCTGGGTCCCAGGGATTTGGTTTTGTGTGGGGCAGGAACAGCCAGGCAGCTCTGAGCCTGTTTCCTCATCCTGCCCTGGGAGCAGCAGCAGCAGCTCCATCCTGAGGTGACAGGGATCCTACCCTAAAGACAAAATTTAGCAGCAGGATTCCGAATGGATTAGAATTACTGATGGGTTAGCATTCCTACCTTAGGCTGCTGCTTTCCCTCTCAGATTGGCATCTCATTTTCTGGGAGACAAAACTGAGAAGCGGTAACTTCCTGCTCACTGTGGGACCAAAACCAATTGGAAACCCTTTCAAGTGAAGATGTTTCCCTTTGGAGCATTTCCAACCTGCCTGTGGGGACCAAACTCTGCCAGTGCAGAGCCCTCACCGCCGTGATTGTGGGATTAGCCCTAAGCTTTGAGCAGACAGCCCCATCTCTCCCCATCATCAGTTCCCAGTGTGGGACTGGTCTCCCAGTGCCTGCACAGTGGCCTGACCCCAGAGCTCCTCCTCACGTGGCCATTTGGGATTTTTCCACGGGCCTTTGCTGCCACCAGGCGATGCTGCGGGAATTGCTCAGTGCAGCGTTAATTGCTCGGCGCGTCCAGTGTCACCCGCAGCTCTCATTTCTGCTGGCTCTTTGTTTACAGCTTTCGGTTCATTCCTGTTAATAAAATTTTTTTATAATCTCCGTGGCTACAGCAGTGTTTTGATTGTCCAGACACAGCAACACAGACCACTCAAACAGTTCACCTGCCTTGAACCCATCTGGATCCACATGGCTGAGCCGCCAGGGGATTATGACCCACTTTAAAGTGGATATTAGGGGAAATTTCCCCCAGAAAAGGATTGTCCAGGGCAGTGGTGGAGTCCCCATCCCTGGAGGGGTTTAAAAGCCATGTGGATGTGGCACTTGGGGACATGGGTCAGTGGTGGCCCAGGCAACGGTTGGATATGATCTTTAAAGGCCTTTTCCAACCTAAGTGACTCCAAGATTCCAATAAAAGGGAGCTGGGCTGAGCTGCAGTTTTTTTCAGTACACCTGGTTTAAAGTTAGTCTGCGGTTTCCACACGACCCATGGAATTTCTGAATAACAGAAACAAAAGCCAAACAAGTCACTGAAAACTTTATTAACCTAGATAAAGCTAAAAAATCGGTACAGAGCAAAGAGTTTAATGACAAGGCTGGACTGATCTGAGGCTGGGGCAAGAACATTGCTGCAATAATTTGTTATTTTCCACACAACTAAGCAGAATTTAAATTAAATTCTTGATCTACACGCGGTAGAGTTATGTGTAAATGCCTTCAGTTACCCGCACTGCTGCACTCGGGACATTCACCTGGAACTAACCCATGTGTGAAAGTCGACGATTTCTTGTTCTCCAGCCCATTCTGCAGCCGCATCTTCGTGCTTCAAGAGCCGCCCTGACCCCCCTGTTGTACAGCAGGGTTGTACAGCAGCGATTTCTCCACTTACCACAGGGCACACCCGCGTCTGACCGGCTGAGAGCCCCGGGAGCAGCCGCGGTCCGGGCACGGAGGTCCCGCCGAGCCCTGAGGGGAGAAGGCAGCGCGTGAGGGGGGCCCTGACCGCCCGGCCCGGCCCCGCCGCGCCTCCCGCGGGCCTCAGCCCTGGCTGCTCAGCAGGGGCCGCGGCCGCCCGCCGCCCTCAGACGAGGTGTCAGAAAGGTCAGTGTGGATCATCAGCGGCCCGCCCTCGTTACCATTCCCGTCCCGTTCCCTCACGGCCCGTCCTTACCCGCTCCGGACACTCTCACATCCTCGCACGGAAAGACCGCGCGTGGGCCCCGCCGCAGCCTTTATAGCCTCCCCGGCGCCGCTATTGGCCAGGCCGCCCTGGGCGCACCCAATCGCCCGCGGTTGGCGTGACCGCCGCCCCGCCCCTCCCGGTTCTCATTGGCCGCCGCGCTCCCCCGCGCCAATGGCGGCGCGCGGCGCAGCGTGGCCCGAGGCGGTGGTTGCCGCCTCCTGATTGGCTGCCGCGGGAGGCCGGGCCGAGCCAGTGGCGGCGGCGGTTGTAGCGCGGAGCGCCCGCGCCGCGGGGGCCGCCGGGAGTTGTAGTTCGCCGTGCGCGGCCGCGCGGGCGGCGGGCGGCACGCGGGACTACAAGTCCCGAGGAGCGGCGCGCGCGGCGGGTCCGGGCCGGGCGGCAGCGGAGCAGGCCCGGCCGCGATGTGCCGGCTCCGGGCACCGGCGCTGCGGCCGCCGCCGCTCCCAGGTACGGCGGGACGGGGGGGGGCCGGGCGGGACGGGCCCCGCGGGGGGAACGGCCGGGGAGTGCCCGCGGGGGCTCCCGGCGCAGCCCCGTGCCCGCCACCCGGTCCCGGCGCCGAGCGATGCGTTCGGGCCCGTGCGGGCGCTCGGAGGGGCTCCAGCGGCGTCTCCGCTGTTCGGTGCCCGTGGGTCCCGCCCGTGCCCTGCTCTCCGCCCCGTGTGCCCTCTGGGTGCGTTTCCCGGGTTTCATCGCAGACTCTGCCCGGTTTTGCCTTTTTCTGCCCCGGTTTGCCCTTTTCTGCCCCGTTTTGCCTTTCTCTGCCCCGTCCCTTGCCCGCCCCCGTCCCGTGTCGCTGCCTGTCCTCCGCTGCCCTCGCGGTGCCCTCCCGATGTCCAGGATGGGGTGTTTGGGGCGTTGCTGTGTTCCCTGCCGGGGGTGCTGCGGGTCCTGCTCCCGGGACAGGCTCTGCCCCCGCTCCCGCTGGATCCTGGCGGTGCCGGAGCGTGCACGGCAGCCCGGAGTGCGGGTTCCATTGGGTTCAGATGCTTGAGAGCCCTGTGGGGTCAAAGACGAGCACTGCGGTGCTGCCGGGGGCTCTCTGAGTGTGAGAGGAGCTGGGGCAGGAGTTACCCAGGCTTTGTGTGTTGGGGCTGTTGTCCCTGCCAGGGCCAGGCTGTGTTCAGAACTGTGGCCTGGCAGTTATTTTTTCCACTTTGACAGTTGCTTTGACTTTGTTTCAATCCCAGCGCTCTAATTTTGCCTCCCTGTGTGTTTCCCTCCTAGCAATGTGTTCTCAACCTGGACAAAGCTGTTGGGTTCCTCTGAGCAGCTGCTGCATTGTCTGAGTGTTAGTGTGTCAGGAGCTCAGCTTGTGGGCTGTGGACTGAATGATGGTTCTGGAAAGCCCTGGCTGAGTAAAAGTAGTGAGACCACAGAATCCCAGAATCACTGAGGTTGGAAAAACCCCTGGAGTCCCCTCTGTGCCTGATCCCCACCTTGTCCCCCAGCCCAGAGCACTGAGTGCCACATCCAGTCAGTCCTTCCTTGGACACCTCCAGGGGTTGGGGACTCCACCACCTCCCTGGGCAGCCCCTGCCAATGTCTGACCACCCTTGCCAAGAAATTCCTCCTGATGTCAAACCTGAACCTACCCTGACGGGGGAAATTTGGGATTTCCTAAGGTCATGCAGGGAGCTGTCCACACTCTACTGGGTCCCTCTCCAGGCCCTGGGGTCCCCCCAGGGTTCTGCTGTCTCCAGCAGGGAAGGGGCAGGGTGAATCCAGCCAGAAGTCTCGGGTGTTGGAGTTTGATCTGTGTGCAGGTGAGACTTCCCTGAGGGAAGGAATGATTTTTCCACCCTGAGGGAGAGTCACTTTTACCCGGTGGCTTTGGAGTTTCCTGTCAGGAAACGCTGGTAACCTCACTGGTTAACAGCCCAACAGGAACTTTCAGGATATTGATTGAACCCAAGGGGGAAAAACCCCAATCCATGGTTTCCAGGCAGTTCTGTTCTTGATCCGAGGGATCCCTGGGGGATCCCTGTGGAGCACCACATGGAAGTTTGTGCCCCCTGGCTGGAGCCTTTGTGCAGGCAAACATTCCCTTCCCAGAGCTCCCCAGTCCTGGTGCTGCCGGAGCCGCGGGGACCCCCCCGGGCTCTGGGGTTCACTGAGCACCGAGTGCTGGAGCTGGAACCAGCTCTGCCCTGCCAGGAGCTGCTGCTGAGCAGCTCTGGGGCTGGCCCTGAGCGGTGCTGAGCACTCTGTAGCCTCGGCTGGGGTTCAGCCATCGGTCACCTCGTGGGCTGAGCGTTCCCCTCTTCCGTGGGACTTTCCAAGCCCTGCTGGCCATGACTGTGGGATTTCCTGGGGTGTGACCGTACCAGTCTCACAGGTTGTCTCAGCCAAGCCCAGCTGCACCAGGAGAAAGGCACTGGGGAGAAAATCCATCGTGGTTTCCCTACCTCAGCACTTGGGCTCCGTGGACAGGTTCAGCCTGTCAGAACTCATCCCTCCCGATTTGTATTCCCTTCCTCAGCCCTTCCCTGCCTGTGACCCTTTGCCATGGGCATGGTGAGGGACACCCTGGCACACCCCCTCATCCACGGCTTGGAGCAGGGGATGTAGTGGCAGCTGGGACAAGGAAGGAGGTGGCTGGTTGCTCACAGGGGTGTGTGTCACCCTTCTTTGGAGCTCAGCAAGTCCTCCCCGGAGCCCAGAGCAGCAGCACCCCAAATTACACATTTAGGCTGCTCCTGCTCTGCCTTTAGCACAGTCCAAGCTCAGAGTTTCATCGGAGTTTCATCAGCTTTTAATGAGGTGTCCTGGGGGTTGGGGTTGGGCGGTCCTGCTCCTGAGAGACCCTCAGCTGGGGGGGTGGGTGTCTTGGCAGTCGGAGTCCCCCACTGTCAGTGCCTGTATTTTGGGTAAGTCCTGCTCCCCAGCTCAGCCTTTGTGGTGGCTCTGGGATTCCCCTGGATTGTCTCTCCGAGCAAAGACCATGTTGCTGCTTGATATTCAGAGTTCTGAGTAGTTTGGGAACTATCTAAAGAGAGAGAGGAACCCAAACTCCCCTTAAAGCGAGCGATGGACTGTCCTGTCCCTGGAGCTTTCTGGGATCGGGGGAATAGATCCTTGTGTGCTCAGAGAGGGTTGTTTTTCCTGCACTAAGCTGAACCGGGAGCATTCCCGGAGCAGCCAGGGCAAAGCTGGGAGGCAGCGTGGAGATTGGCTGAGCTGTGGGATTTTCCAGCTGGATTTACATCTCGCCCACTGCTCCGCATGCCTTTGTGTTTACATCACTGGGGAGCGATGCACACACGCACACAGATAGCGGGAGGGCCGGGCAGAGCCTGTGCACGGCTCAGGAACGGGGCATGGAGGCGCCTGGCCGGGCTCTGCCGCTCCAGGATGGCCGAGGGTGAGTGTCCCCCACAGAGCTGATTGCTCCGGGGTTGGGGGTCAGCCCATCCCCAGCGCTCCCTGGGAAGCTGCTCTGCTTTAGCCGGCACAGCAGGGAGGGAGGAACTGCTTCCATCCCTTAGTGGAGAGCTGGGATCCAGCACCAGTTTGGAAGGGGGTACCTGTGGCCTGTCCAACATCCAGAGCCCTGCTGTGCTGGTTTTATGGTCCTTCAGGGTGACCTTTGCAAGGAGGTGGAACTCTTGATTGCAGCAACTCAGCAAGTGTGTTCTGGGGCTGTTGCTGGTGGTTTCGGGGCTGGGAAGTCCTCGGTTTTCCTCAGGCAGAGTTGTGAGCACGGAAGCCAAGTCTGTGAGGAGAGGCCGTGTCCAGGTACCTTCCCTTTGTATCCTAAGTCACCGTGGGGCAGTGATTGAAATCTGTGGTGTTTGGGGCCATGGGACACTGAACAGCGCTGCTGTCTCAAAGCTGTCCATAGGTTTGCCATGGTGGAAGTGTCCACAGCCACTCATTCCTTTTGGAATCCAAGATGCAGCACTTGTTTCTCTGAGGGTCACAGTTTGATCAGTGAGTGTAGTTGTCTACCTTGTGCCTCCTGCTTGTCCTCAGTGGCAAAGTCCAAGGCAACTGTACACAAAAAAAGAGCAGGTAACTGGAATTTGCCGGGTTATTTTTCTTTGTGAAGGTGCTGATGCATTTCAGCCTGGTCTTTGAAGTGCTCCAATTGCACCCAGAGGGCAGGAGTGTGTCATGGAGTTTCAAAGCTTTGGAGGATGTTGAGGGGGGAGCAGGGGGTGGAAGTGATACTTTGTGCTTTTTGATTCATGTTTATGGGCTCAGGTTTCTTATGACTAATCTGGAAGAATCCCATAATGTGATGGGGTGGCTACAGCTTTGCAGAGGAGTGCAGTGCAGCCCGTAAGGCAAAGCAGCTGGAAGAGGCCTCAGTGGTGGCACAGGAATCGAGGAATGAAGGAGAGGAGGAGCTGTGACTGCCTTGGCTCTAGCAGGGCTCCAGGAGAGGAGGATCCAGGTGAGACAAACATTCCTCTGGCTCCCTTGGGAGAACAGAGGCTGAACCTCTCCATACCCCAGGCTTTGCTGCTGACCTGATGTGTCTTAGAGGCTTTTTAGATGAGTTGCAAGCCCCTCTATCGACCAGGTTTGCAGCAGCAGGGCCTGAGCCAGCCCACAGGACCCTGTGGGGTCTTGGCAGCCCCTTGGTCTCTCTGTCAAGCAAGGCTGAGGAGCAGCAGTGAGCACCAGTTGAGGTGTGAGTGATGTGACTGTTCTCAGCTTTTAAAGCCTGATAATTCTTACCAAGATCTGCCTTGCACAGAGATGACCATTTCCTCCCAGGGAACTGCAGCAGGACTGAGATTTTTGCCTTAGAGGGGTAGGATGTTGTTGGTCTGGCGGCTTGGTTGGAGTTTTATTCATTTTCCATAACCAAATGCCCAATTTAACAATGTGATGGTGTCTGAGCGGGCCTGTTCTTTGAGGGAGGACGTGGAAGAGCACAAGCTGTGAAAGGCACAGCACGAAGCTGCAGCATTAGGGCCAACTATTAAAGCACCTTTTGATTCCAGGCTTTGTGTGGAGAAGCTCTGGACGTGCCTGTTCCTGCCAGCCTGGCTGCCCAGCAGTGGCTGTGCAGCTGCTGAGCCCAGACACAGCAATTTCGGTTGGAGGGGTCAGAACTACCGAGGTCTGGTCTGCATAACAAAAATGGTGTAGTAGGTGGGTGCTTTCAGGTTACCAAAAATGGAATTAAAGGTTCAAATGTAGCTTTTCTGTCATGGAACAGTATTGAACATTGGCCTCTGTTCTCCCTTTTAACTTCATTTTTTTGGGGGGGAGGGGAAAAATGAGATGCTTTGTTCTACCAGAGCGATCACTTTTGATCGAGTTTATGGGCACATTTGAAAGTTACTGCTTCAGGTTTTAACATGAAGTATAACAAAAAAAAAATCTTCTATGCCAAGGAGTCATTGTCGGTTAGGAAAAGCAGCATAGGACATGATTTCCCATCCTGAACCCCGTTAGCTCAAAGGCATGGCCACGTTCAAGCAACTGTTCAATGTGCCCTCGCAGCCCTGCAGTGGGTGGAAGTGCTGGTAAAAGCAGCAGCAATTAAAAATATCAGTTTTGTTTGTATTGATGATGGCTCGGTACAATTTTGGTCTCAGGAAAGTTTGTATGACTTATAAGAAAAACTTCTGAACGATGCAAAGCCTGTTCCACGGAACCCAACACGCACCAGACGGAGGGGCCACGTTCTGTCAGTGAGGCTGAACTTCTGCTCATGTTTTATTTCTTCTAGCACTGACTGCACATCTTGGTGTACGGCCCTGGCCCTCGAGAGGCCACCCAAAGGGTGTAAGAAAGGTCCTTCTGGGTGAGAGCATCAGTTCTGTCTTCAGCAGTTATGGAAATCATGGAATCCTGGAATGGTTTAGATTGGAAGGACCTCAAAGCTCATCCCACTCCACCTCCTGCCATGGGCAGGGGCACCTTCCACCAGCCCAGGCTGCTCCAAGCCCCGTCCAGCCTGGCCTTGGACACTTGCAGGGATGGGGCAGCCGCAGCTTCTCTGGGCAACCTGTGCCAAAATTGGTGCTGGAACCTGACCACTTTCTACCACCCATTTGCCTCATGTTTTCCCACCACTCAAACTACTTGGATTAGAGACCTCACCCCCTGATTGTTATATTTGTCATCCCCTGAAGTTTCTCTACCCTGTGTCTCCTTCCAAAGCAAAGACCAGAGTTACAGCATGCAGGAGACAAGAACATGGATGTTTTATGTAGCACCCCATGACATCCTGTGGTTGTTCTCTCGGCATTTGTGATGCTGCTCAGTATCTCACTGGCCTGTTTGGTGCTGTCCTCAGGGCTGAGAGCTCCAGCTCACTGTCCGTGGAGACTCCAGTGTCTCATTCTGGAGCTAAGCATTGTTACTGTTCCCTGGATGCATTGTTTGACACTTATCTCCATCTTACAAAGCTTTCAGCTTGTCTGCCATCTCTTGGTCTCCTCAGTTTTGGGAGGTTTTCTGTAAGTTCTTCACCACCAGTGTGGTATTTGGCTGGTCAGAAGAGCTGAGTGCCACCTGCAAACGTGGTGATTTCACTGCTTGCTTTGATTCAACATCTTCATCTGTGACCTGGAACGAGCTGACTCGGCAGTGGTTCTGAGGGAGCCCTGGCTTAGTCTTCCCTAACCTGAGGAGTGACCTGTGGACTCCACCCTCTGCTTCCTGTTTGGTGACTGAGGTGTCTATCTCAGGGATCTGGGGTAGCTCAGCATTCTGAGGCCTGTGTTTTACAAGTCAGACCAGATGCTGATAGTCCTCGTCACCATGAGATGCTGGTAGTCACAGAACAGTTCATTAGAGTAGGAAGGGACCTCTGGAGACCATCTAGTCCAACTCCCTGGCAAGGCAGGGTCACCTAGAGCAGGTAACTGTGTTCTTTAAGCCCTGTTGATGCGGCTCTCGGGCTCTTTTGGGTGCTATTTCCACCACACATACCAGGGAAGCCAGTGTGACTGTCCCCAGGCTGTCGAGATGTTCCCTTGCTGGTTGCTGTGGGCCACTAAGAACCAGTTCAGAGAATGTGTGGGCAACACCTTGGTCCTGCAGAAGGACAGGGTGCACAGCCTGCCCCAACTGGGCTGGATATACTGGCCCTGTGACCTCCCCCAGAGGAGCCCTGGGTGTGTGAGAGCTTGGGATACAGAGAAAGGGGGTGTAGCCCCCAAACCCACCCCCTGCTCTCGGCACCCCGTGCCTTCCCCTTGTCCCGTGGAGCTGGGCTGTGGGAGCTTCTCTCAGAGCATTTCCCTGGGGACGTGCCAGTACTCTCCAGGATGTGTAACCCTTCTTGTCCTGACTGTGGTGGTGTAAGAGGAACAGGAGCTCTTACGCCATAAATACCCAGGCTGTGAGATAAGGAAGTTCACGTCACCCAGGGGCTGTTCCAGCCGGAGCAGGATAACCCATGCCTGTCTTTCCTGCTGGCAAACACTCCTGCTGAGGATGATTTTGCTGCTCCAGTGGTTTCCTTGGGGGTGAATAACCTTGGAGAGGGCTTCAATGGAGAGAGGAAAGGAGGGGGAAAGAAGAACCAGCAGATGTAGGACACGCTGAGCGTTGCAGGCTGGTGGTTGCGTAAGGCAAAGGAGGCTCTTGCTGGTGTCTTGGCAAGGAGACACTGGGGGACATTGCAGCTGCCAGTCGTGGCACATGGCACCTGCAGGACCCACTGTGTGTGCTCACCTGGAGAGCAGCCAGAGCACAAACCCCAGCAGTGCCCTGGTGCCTGCAGAGGTGGGGTTCCTGCACTGGGAACTGGCTCTCCATCAGGACCAGGCAGGTTTCGTGATGGTTGTGAAGGATGGGATACTCTGCTGTCCCTTCTCCTCATGCCATGTCCCCCCTTCAAAGCCTTGGCCTTTGTGCTTGGTTGTAAGGAACTTCTGCAGAGTATTGGGAATAACTCTGTGTGTGCTCTGGGGGCAGAGAGAAGGCAGATGCCACCAGATCCCTCTTCAGCATAGCCAGTGCTTCCCTGCCCATGGCAGGGATGGAACTGAGTGACCTTTAATGTCCCTTCCAACTCAAACCGTTCCAGGACTCTGTGATTAGCCAGACCACTGGTCGCAGAGGTGATTCTCCTCCCTGCTTTGAGGTGGTTGGCAGGGCTGGCAGCAGTGTGATCCGGGGCTGATCCCACTGGATCTCCCCTCAGCAGTAGGGAGGAAGAGCACCGCTTCCCCCAGCTGCCCCTGCAGCTACTGGTGGTTGGGTTTTTCCTTGCCTGGATTACTACAGTAGGATTTGAAGGCTTTTCTTCTCGCTGAGTCTCAAAAGCCTGAGTTGATCCCCGTGGTGTGCAAATGCTGAAACTCATCCCTTCCCCTGCCTCGCATCTGGTTACGATCAGCCGTGGGATTTACCGGATGGCCAGTCCCCACTGCTTCCTTTTCCAGGGTAGATTTTTCTCCCCCCTCTTTGTTTACTGTAAAAAACACTGAAGTTGCATGTTAGAAAAAAAGAAAAAAAAAAAAAAAAGAAAAAAAGAAATATTAGAAAAATTAACTGCAGGCAAGGAGAATCTGGGTCACAGGCTGGGATCCCCAGGAGGGACGCTCATCCTCCGGGCCTGGGAGCTCGGGACGGTGTAGCTGGCAGGGTTCAGGTGCCAAGCCAAGGTGCAGAAATCTGGCAGAGGTTTTTGCAAGTGCTGTAGGAATCTGATATTATTATTGACAGCATCAGCTCTTTTTTTGCCTCCTTTTAACTTGCTTGGTGCCAGTTGGGAAAGGCCTTTCTCAGTACCTCTTGGAAGATGTGAGGAGCTGTCAGACAGTGCTCCGGGGAGGTGTCTGCTCTGCTGAAATGCTCCTGCCTATGGGTGGGTGCAGAGATTTGGGCTGAAATCAGATATTCCCGTGGCTGCTGGTGTTCTGCAGCCTGGCTGATATTCCACTCAGCATTTTTGCCATTGCTCACATTCCTCTGCTCTCTGTTCAGAGCAGACAGAGCAGGTCCCTGCTGCTGCTTGCAGGTGGGTTGCTCAGCCAGGCTGCAGAGCACGGGTCGTGCTTATAAACAGTGAGTGGAAAATCCCCGTTCCCTTCCTCACTTTGGATTTATCCAAGCTCTGCTGCATCCGTTTCAGTGGGATTTTGGGGCAGGGTGAGACTGGAGATGCTTCCTTAGTGCCTCTCACAGGACACTTTTCCATGGCCTGTGGGTTATCCCTGGGAAGTTCCCAGGCAGGTGCTGTAGGGGTCACTGTAGTGGCTCAGGTGTCCGCAGTCGCTCTTTGTTGCACGTCTGATCCAACGTTTAAGGATATTCCAGAGCTCCTCAAGCTGTTAGTTATCCCCATTTTCGGTTTTCCCTGTCTCCGAGTGCTTTCCCATCGCTCGAGTCACCATCTGTTACATCTGAAGGTGATGCATACCCTGAAAAGGAGAAGGGAATGAAGCTCCTGTATGAGTCTCCAGACAGCCCACAATCCACCATTAGGATGGGCTTCCTCCCTTTCCATCTGGGAATGTTTGTTTGCCCTAAAACCCGATAGGAATATTTTATATGCGAGGTTCCCCTAACGCTGACACGGCTGGTGAGGTGGGAGCACATCCCTGCTCCTGGCTTTGAGCAGTGCAGGATGAAGGGGGTTTGGGCAGGTGTTGCTGAGGTTCTGTGGATTCATATCCCTGAAAAGTGAGTCCCTCTGTTTCTGCCTTAGTGGGAATGACCAGAGCTCAGCTGTGTTGTTACATACAGGGAACCCACGGAGAGGGGAAATCTAGGGGTACGTGCATGTGGTGATTAAGGATGAGATAATGCAGCCTTGAGACATGAGACCCCAGGAAATGTGGCAGTTTATGCCATCACTCGTGGAAGAACTAAGCTTTTATGAGCACTGCATCATCTGGAGAGCCCAGCTGCAGACCTTTTTGACTCTTTGATCTTCGGGCTTTGTAGTGCAGAAATGCTGTGCAGAAGAGGTGAATTTTTGCTGGGAGGAAGCCCAGAGCTCCAGGGGGTTGTCCAAGGCTGCCAGAGGGTGAGAGGCTGGGTGGGGTTCAGACTTCATGGGGCCACAGCCAGTGTTACCCAAAAGCTTTGCCTGCCCTCTCCCACCACCCACCATCCCAATTCCCTCTAATCTCTGTGCCCTAAGGAACACTGACAGGAATGAAAGGATCTGATGGCCACAGCCAAACTTCTGGCTTGCTGGAGCCCAGCTTTAAACTCGGCGGGTCTCCCTGATGCAGCAGCACAACACTGCTTCAGTCCTGCTGGTTTTGAGACAGCTCCAGCAACTCTGCTCAGCATCTCCTCAGGGATCTGGCATTTGCAAAGAGCCAGGACAGTGCTGTCACATGTGTGGAAAACATTATCCAGATCCCTGGTTTTAAGATGGGTTTGGCTTCGGAGTTTGTTGGTTTGGTTTTTCATTGGAATTTTTGTGGGTTTGTTTTTTTGTTTTGTTTTGTTTTAGACTGTAGCTTTTTCTGAGAGTTTAATCCTGAGTAGCAATTCCCTGGATTCTGCTGCTGCTGCTGTTCCTGGCTGCCTGACAGCTGTTGGATCCAGAGCTGCAGGGAGCACCAGGAAGTTGCTGTGTCAGGGCCTGAGCAGAGCCTTGGTCAAGGACAGCTCGAGCGTCACCTTTGCAGTGTTTAAAATGCAAGTGCAGGATGTGCCCAGCCCCATGAGCAGGCAGCCTTGTGCCAGGGCTCTCCAGGGAGGTGGCAATCCCTGGACAAGTCCCCAGTCTCAGCTACACGGTGGGACCCTGTCTCTCTTGGAGCCTCAGTTTCCCTGTCTGTAAAAGTGGAGAAATCACAGTGGTGATTTTGTAAGGAGCTTGGAGGTTTAGGACTTGTCACCTCCAGCCCAGGGGAAACCAACTGCTAGAAACTCCTGAGACACTTCACCTCCCAACAGCTGGAAGTGGGAGCAGCAGGAGTGTGGAAGCCTGGCTGGAGCAGAGCCATCTCTCAGGACCTGTGGGGTGTTCCTTGCAAGGTCTTGTCCTGCAAAAAGGGGGTTTGGTTGTCTTAGTAAACCCTTTTTGGCCTGTCTGTCCTCACTGCAGGTGTGTGTCTGTGTAGCCCCTGGACTCTGCTGCTGGCAGTGAAAATACCAAGACTTACCTTGGACAGAAAGGGGTGCCCTGGAGCACCATCAGGTTCTGAGGTTAAAGAAAGCAAACTGCAGGTGTTTGTGCAGGTTGTTGTTGTGGAATTCTTGACTTTGCAAACTGGAGCTTAGTGAAAATCCGTGTAAACAGTGGGAAAAGAGAAATGAGCCTTATCTTTTAAAAGATAATATTTTTAGAAAATGCTGAACTCTCATCCAAGAATGATTCAAAGGAATCTGACTTTGTCCTTGCCTCTTCCTCCTGAAAGTCCAGGTTTATGTGAGTTTAGGTAAACACTTGGACTTAGTGCTGCAGGAGAGTGTTCTCTGAGCCCAGGAAAATACATACAACAAACCTAACTCCCTTTCCCTTCTTCCACAGAGCAAGCTTCCCATGACTAACAGATGCTGGCCTAGATTATGAGCTCAAACAAGAACGCTCGCTACAATCGATTCTCCAGTGGCACAACAATTATCACTCCTTCAGAAAACACTAACGGGGTAAGGTCACTGCTGCTGGCAGAGCACAGGGACTAGGTGCCTTCTGAGATATGGTATTTTCTTGCCCCTTAAAATTCTCAAAATTCACAGATAAAAGCTAGGAATATGTATGGACATTTTTTCACCGGTTCAGGGAAGATCTGAAGCCTTTATATGCCCTGACCTTCATTTTTTCAATGTTTCAGACAAGAATGGAAACAACTTTTGGACCAGCCTACTCTGCTGTAACAACTATCACAAAGGGTGAGTATTTCATGCTTGGAGCATCTCCCCAAAGCACTGTGGGTGATTCCAGGGTTGTTGTTGTTGTTCTGCAAATCATAAAGCTGCTGGGAGAATCACTGTGTTCATTAGCCAGGGGCTGGTTTTAGTGCTCTTCAGCCCCCATGTCCAGACATGAAGAAAATGAGCAGGCACAGGAATTGTCTCCCCTTAGGCAGAATGAACAGCACCACTGGGAAACTCCTGTTGAAATTAGGATAGTACAACAGGGTTTGATTCTGAGCTCAGCACCAAATCTTACTGATCCCTGTGACAATCATCACCAGCACTGAAAATTCCATCTTCGCTCTTGTGCCTGTGTGACTGTGAGTCACTCTGGAGCTTTGGTGAAAACCCCATGGCCATTTTTAGCTCATACAGGAGAGGATGCAAATGCCTTTACTCATTTAGAATTCCTGTGCCTTGCTCCTCAAAGCTCAGCAGGTGAGGGAAGCCTGAGGCCTGACACGTGGGGTGAATGTAGGAAGAGGTCTGTTTTAATTTTGGAATAAAAATATCCTTCCTTTAGTAAAGACAAGAAGACTTGACACTGATTTAGATCAGGAAATTAACATGTGCCTGAGGAATATGTTTGGATTACATTTGGCCTGGACTCTGGATGGTTTTGGACTCCTGAATATTTACAGTCAAACTTTTACATGAGTCAGTAACGGGATCTCTACACAAATATCTCATATTTAATTTACCATGCCTCCCTTGTGCTGCAAGAGTATCCAGAGCTTCATGGATCTAAGCAATTTTTTTTGGTGGCTGAGATATGTGGGAGTATAAAGTTTCCTTTTAATAGTGTTTTTGACCTGTGGACAGAACATCACCTGTGCTCCTTTCTGGGCAAGCTCTCAGAGATCAGAGCTGTTCCACCTTTGCTGATATATCCAGTCACAAACTGGAGTTGGACAATCCCGAGTCTTTTTCTTTTCTGAGGACCACTTACAGCTACAGAGTCTGACCCATAGTTTGGAAATGTTTCTGAGGAGCCTAAATGCCTGTTTTCCTTTCTTTGCTTCCCTTCAAAGCTGACGGGACCAATACTTTCAAGCAGCACCGCCGGACCCCGTCCTCCTCCAGCACACTCACCTATTCCCCTCGGGACGAGGACGATGGCATGGTAGGTGTTGCCAGGGCCCTCCTGACTGGCTCAGCTGAGAGATGAGAGATGTCTGGTGTTCCTCTGGACTCCCTGATCATTCCATGCACTGTTATATCCAAGGGAGATTCCTGCACTGGGAGGGGGCAAGACCAGCCTCAGCGTTCCTGGCTGCTCCTGTGCTTGGGGAAGCAGCTGATCCTGACCTGGGGCTTTAAGCTGGTGCTGCTGGTGCTCATTTTCACACTACTTGAAATTATGTGGTTTCAAAGCCTGGGAAGTACAAATCCCACTGACCTGTGTGTGAGGGTGTACCTGGCTCTGGGAGGAAACAACCACAGCCAGGGGTGTCTGGGCTGTGACTGAGGCCAGGCAGTCTCGGGCAGGGCGTGTTGGATGGATCCCAGCTGGCTCTGCAGCTAAGGCCATTCCTATTCCCACCTCCAGATGGGGCTTCTGGCCACAGGGAGCGGGTTTGAAACCTGCAGAGTGGGATGTTGGACACTACAGACTGTGCTGGGCTCCTGGGGGCTTCTCACAAAAACCGTTCCTGTGTTTCCCAATATTTTTGTGGAGAAGAACTTCCCCATTTTGTATCTGGCTTTCTTACTCACTTCTGAGTAAGCTGGTTTTGGGGAATTCAGTGATTCAACAGGCCTCAGGGTTAGCTGCTTAGAGAGAAATTAAATCAGCTAAATCAATTAAATCAAGAACAGCAACAGCAAAGCAAACCTCAGGGAAAGGATGGACAGCTCTGAGGCCTGGACCTTCTCCTGTCCCTGGTGCTCCAACCACATCTCACAGCCACAAGCTCTGTTTAGATTTAAACATGTTGGTAGTAAACTTCAAATAAAGTACTTGTAGACTTAGTCAGGTTACAAGACCCAGCTTCCAAGCCAGAGATAAATGGGATCCCTGCTGCTGGAGTTAGGCCCTGACAGAGACTGGGGTCAGCAACAGTGTGGAGCTACAACACTGCTGAAAATAAATTTGACACCAGATTGCAAAGAGCTTTATTGTCAGCATCCTATAAAGTTCCTTCTGTTGCTCAGACATCTTGCTGTGTTTTGTGGGAGCCCATGGGGGTTTTTGTTTGTTTTTTTTTTTCCTAACAAGTCCTTTGAACATTGGCCTGGTGTCCTTGGAGAGTGCAGCTCTCCATCCCATCCCTGACCCCTCGGTGCTGGGCCATTGCTCCAGGCCACCCTTGGCTGTGAGCTCGACCCCTGTGGGCTCAGTGCTGGGCTCACTGTGCCCTTCTCACCAGCTGGGCAGTTCTCACAGGGCAGAGGGGAGGAGTTTTCCAGAGGAGGGGATGCCGGGGACGTCTCATTTGGCCACGTCTGGTGGAGAAGCTCCTTTGAAAACCCCGGTGTCATGAACTGAGGTGTGCAGCCAAAAATAGGGGAGATCTCTCCTGGGATCCAGCCCCAATCCTCTTGGACAGCCTCAGCCCACCTTCCCTGGAGTGCTAAATATGCTTAAGCAAAAATAGCAGGAGAATTAACGAGTGGTTCAGGAAGCAGCATGAGGTGCTGACAATCCGGAACCACCCCAGCCCTGCTCTGCCTGCTGCTCCAGACAGACTCACTAACCCTTTTAGGAAGCTTCATTTGCTTTGTCAAGAAATAATCTGGGATTTCCCTTCCTCATCACTGAGTTTTCCCTCCTCCAGAAGCTGCCAAGGGCTTGTCAGCCATCAGTGAGACAGCTGGAGACGAGTCAGAGCCCTCCTGTGACCTCCACCACCCCTTTTTCTTTCTTTTTAAAGCTTCTGTTAATGAAACCCAAAGCAGAGCAGCATGTTCTGTGTGCAAGGCAGGGATTACTGAGCAGCTGCTGTCGGCTTTCCATGAAAACAGTGCCACAGGTCCCCTTGAGGACTCTGCTGGAGCCTTCACGTGGAGGCTGCACTTGTAGCTGAGGTGATGGGAACTGCAGCTAAAGGTTACAGCTGAGTATTGGGGCAAATAGATACTAATGAGTGAAGGCTGCCTGGCTGTCCAAAGTCTGTTGTTCACAGGGAGCTTCACCTCTGGACTGAGTTATCAGCCAGAAACTATCTATCTTCCATCAGAAGATTTGGGTGCTCCATCCTTGGGCTGTTTGAAGAGGCGCCTGATGTTTAGTGCAGATGTTTAGACCCAGACAGTCCCAGGATGCCAGCACATCCTCTGCCATTCCCTGTTGTCCCTGCAGCCCAAGGGAATGAGGGAGCTTTCTCAGCATTTCTCCCCTGGGTAGTTAACACCAACATCACCCCAACACAGGGCTCTGAGCCCACAGTGTTACTGAAGCCTTGAAAGTCCGTGTCTCACACCTTTGCCTCCTGGAAATGTTTTTGGGCCGCAGTGCCCCCTCTCCATTGCTGACCACCTGCTTCCCTGCAGAGCCTGCCTGTGCTGCCCTCAGCTCCGTGTCACCTCCAGAGGGGGAACTATGCACAGTCATTCTTGTTATTTTAATAACTTCTGTTACTGGTGGAGGAAAATAATAAGCTGAATGGATACACATAAAATTGATTTACTCATTATAACCGTTCCTCCTCAAGGTTTACCTGTTTAGCCAATAAATATGCTGTCTTTAAGAAAAAGCTTTATGCTCTGGCTTCTAAGCAGATGCAGCAGCTCTGAGCTCCTGGGAGCCCAGGATCATAAAGCTGGAGCAGCAGAGCAGTGTGAGGAACCAGCAGGGTCCTGCTCTGCTCCTCTTCTACAACCCAGCCAGGCTGCACTCAGGCTGCAGCCTCTGAACCTCATCCTGCAGCTTTCATTGCTGGATTTCCTGACTGCCCCTCATGGAACACGAGGGAAAGTGTTTTGCTCTCGAGGTGCTGCACAGGAACCCAGGGCAGCAGAGTCTGGTCAGAAGCTGGTGCAGCTTCTCCTGTCAAAACATCCATTCTGCTCCTTGACTACCTCTATTCCTTCTCTCTGCACCCTTCCCAGTCTACCAGGAGCATCTCTTCCCAAGTAACCCGGCAGTGGCTGCACTCCCAGATGGCTTTGGGACCCCCAAATCCAGACGCTTCATGATCTGAAGAGTGTCCAGTTTTGCTCTGATGCCAAGTTTCGCCTTGGCTACATGCTGCTGGTTGATATTCCGCCCTGAGAGATGCACTGCTGGTTAATATTCCAGAGGCAGCATTCCCTCAAAGCCAATCCCAGGGCCGCTGTAGGCAGGGGGATCGCGTTGGTTGGTGCGCGGTGTCCGCTCCGCTCTCCCTCCCGAGCAGGAAGCGGCAGAGCCGGGCTGTGAGGGAATTCAATAGAAGGAAGTCTCCACACTTACGCAAAGAAATTTGGCAGAAGTTAGATAGCGAGTGCAACAACAAGTGCTGCTGCAGAGACTGGAGACAGGGCAGGAGCTGGAGCAGTCTCGGGGGGAGATTTACAGAGCTTTCCGTGAAGGATTAATTCTTCCAGACCATTGCTCTGCGGGTGCCCACGGTAAGTGCACAGCGAATGCACCTTGGAGAAAGGGACGTGCTTGGAATTCAGATGTCAGCCCGGTTTAGGAAGTTAAACCTTAATCCTCTCTCTGAGCACAGTGCAGGAAGGGCACACAGCAGCAGGGCCGCTCAGTGCAGCTTGGAGTGGAGCAGCGTAGGTTTGGGAGGGAGAGGACTGAACTGGAAGTGTTCACACAGAGTTTGGGAACTCCTTGGACTAACCAGAGCTGGTTTTATCTCTTTGAAGCCCCCGATCAGCACCCCACGCCGCTCTGACTCTGCCATCTCCGTCCGTTCATTGCACTCCGAGTCCAACATGTCCTTGCGCTCGACGTTCTCACTCCATGAGGAAGAGGAGGAGCCAGTAGGTATTTGGGATTGTCTGAAGGAGCAGTATTAGGAAGTGCAGTGTCAAAAGAGTAACTTAGTGGACTCTTGTGAGAACACAGAGCTGTCACAGACGGATTTTTTTGATGCCTGGCTGTCAGAACTCCGGCTTTAACTTTGTTTCCACCACTGGCTTTGCTTCCTTGTGAAGCATTTCCCTCTCTGTAGAGCGAGGACAATGGTGAGGCTTTTCTGCTTCCCAGATAAACTGCAAGTCTTTGCAAAGTCCTGTGTGATTCCCTGGCTCCACTGCAGAGCAGTGGGGGTTGCAAAGCTCAGGCTGGTGGTCTGGCCCCAGACAGCAGGAGAAATACAATTCCCCACGGATCTGGAGCCCCATCCCACATTCAGGGCTGTGTGGCACCCCACTGACTAGATTGTAAGCCCCTGGAGAGTGCAAGGAGTTGTCTGCATGTTGGGGGAAAACACTTTTAAGCTGAGCTTAGCTTGTAACCCAGTAACTAACCCCAGACTGGATGAATGAAAGGTCAGGTGGCATCTTGCCACTGATCTGGGGATAAAAGTGTGTTTCATGTTTAGGAACCCAGGGGGTTGTGTTTGCATTTCTGAGAGCAGTACGGGTTGAAAAGACAGACTGAACTGCAGAGACTGATTTGAAATGCTCTGAAATGTGAAGCCCTGCCCTGGCATGGCATGGAGGGCTGTGCTGCTCCAGGAGATCATGCTCAGGGTCCTGGAGAGCCATGCTGCTCCAGGAGGACGTGCTGGGAGCCCTGCAGAGCTGTGGGGCTCCGGGAGGACGTGCTCACAGCCCCGTGCTGGCAGTCGTAGTTGGTAAACAAAACTGGAGAGATGGGCCCATTGCAGCAGAAACAATGTTGTTTCTGCTTCATAAGGGAATGAAAGAGCCCTTCCTCCAGGATGTTTCAGAAATACAAAAGGGCAGGCTGCTCTAAAATTGCTTTCAAACTCTAGGCTTAGTACATCTCTGACAACGCTCTGTTCAGCCCAACCAAGCACAAAGTCCCAGCCAGTGCAGCTCACACAGGGCTGGTGACTTGAGTCACCGACAGAGAGGATGGTCTGAGCAGTTTGCTGTCAGGTCCTGATCCTGCCAGATGCTGGTGGTCCCCAGTTTGTGACGAGCTGAGGGTCTCCAGCCATTCCCAATCCCCTGCCTCTTGCTGCAGCTCAGCAGATCCAGACAGATTGTTTGGTTGAGATAGTGAACCCCTCGGTGTGCCCAGTGCCCCGGGCTCCCCGAGACTCACCTCTGAGGAGTATTTTGTTCCTTCTGCAGGGGAAAGCTCTTGTGTTCAGACTAATCCTTGTGCTGTCTTTGTCCCTTTCTGTCCCCGCAGGAGCCCCTGGTGTTTGCTGAGCAGCCCTCTGTGAAGCTGTGCTGCCAGCTGTGCTGCAGTGTGTTTAAGGATCCGGTCATCACAACCTGTGGGGTAAGGCAGAGCTTTTTAGCTCACCAGCACGGGCTCCACACGTGTCCTGACTGTCCCCACTGGCTGTCCAGCGCTTGCCTAAGGTTGGATGGCTTTTCCCAGGAGAGCTGCCCTGTCCTGGCCACGTTCAGTCTCCTTGCTGTGGCTTCCATGAGGTCTAAAACTCCTCGTTCTCTGTCCTGAAGGGCTCTGCAAGGAGCTCCAGGGCACCTCTGGAATGGCTGCTCCTCAGCTGGAAGTGTTGCTTATAAAACAAAAATGGCTGGAAGCTTCATTTAGTTAATGCTTGCAAAGGGATTTGAGATGCTCAAATGAAAGGCACGGAGTATTATGAATATTCTTCTGGATTCCATTTTAGTGGGATTTAATAGAAGCTGTAAATTATTCCTGCTTCTGTGGTACTTGTGAAGAAAGATGGCTTCGAGATGTGCTCTCTAGTGCTTCTGATGTGCTTCTGATTGCCAGGATGGGGCTGTAGCAACAACAGCTCAGGATTGTTTATTGCAGTGAGGGTGCTATTCCCCACAAGTGCTGGAAACTGGTGCAGTTTCGCTGCAGCTCCTCACAGAGACACTGAAATGTGCTGGTTAACATGGAAAAACCCGGCTAGAGGGAGCAGGCTTGGCCTGCAGTCCCGGGCTGGCAGCTCCGGAGGGCGCTCCGTGCAGCTGTGCCGGCAGGAAAAGGAGCAGGGCAGCAGATAGCAGAGAACAGCTCTGGAGAGGGGCTCGCCCAGCCCCGGCCCCCTGGCAGGGGAATGAGGCTGAGGAGGCTCCAGGGAGCCCACGGGGCAAGGTCAGGACCAGTGAAGCGCTGCAGCCTTTGTGTTCCTGAGTGTGGCAGATTGCTACTTCATCAAGTTGAACTGTAAGAACGGAGAGAGAGGGAGCTATTTAAAGTGTCACAATTCACAGAGCATTTAGTGGCTTACAAACCAGCTGTTCCATCTTCCTGGCAGCAGGACAGGGCAGCTTCAACTACCTTAGAAGAGCTCCAGAGGCATATGTGTGAGGGGCTGACTGGGCAAAGACAGGGAGAGGCCAGGCTTTCCCCTTGCTCCTTCCCTTGAGGACTTCTCAGGGTTGTGGGAGGGATGATATGGGCTAAAGTGGAAGGTGAAGTAGGGAAACCCCATGCAGATGTGGAGGGTAGGAGGGACTTGGATATGTTCAAGACTAGTCAGGATGGAGCCCTGCGCTACCTGGTCTAGTGGAAGGTGTCCCTGCCCATGGCAGGGGGTTGGAACAGGATGATCTTTAGGTCCCTTCCAACCCAAACCATTCTGTGATGCCATGAATATCAGAGTGTGGCAGAACATGCCCGTGGCTTTGGCTTCACCACAATCATGGCCCAGTCCTGAACGGGGCAGAACATCAAAGTTTAATGCTCTCAGGAGCAGGACCTGTGCTGCACCCTGAGCAAGCAGCTGGGCTTTGCCCTGTGGTGCTGAGCTAAAGCAGGCAGAACAGCTGCTGAGGTCCCTGAGCCACAGGCTTGGGTATTTCCCACTTTTCCCACCATTGTCCACAGGGAATAATTAGCCTGCTCTCATTTTACGCTGATGCTGCTGTTCCTCTCTGTCTCCACAGCACACATTTTGTAGAAGATGTGCCTTAACATCTGGTGAGTACAGAACTATTCTTGTGTGATGCAGTCAAAACACTGTTATTTTCTGGTTTGTTTGCTTTCACTTAAAAAGAAACCTGCAGAAAAACGTTCAGAGAGCTCCAAACAAGCTGCCAGTCGGATCTGCCGCTGCAGCAGTGAGGGGCTGGGGCTCGGGGGCCGTGCAGCTCCCACGGAACACACTGGAGCTTGGGCACTAGAGAGAGGGCTGTGCCCAGCTCTTGGGCACAGGATGTTCTCAAATCGTGGAATATGCCCTGGATAATCCCAGGATAATACACGTCTCGCCCAGAGCTGACCCATTGATTTCAGACTGAAAGCTCTCTGTGGCTGCCTGGCTAAGGAACAGGGGGCTGTGTTTGGCAGAGCCCCATCAACCCCTCCTCCCCCAGCCCCTCAGTGCCAGCGCTCTGGCCCCTGCTTGTGCCCCACAGAGCTGCTTTAGCTCACCCAGCTCTTCCAGAACCCTGAGGGAGCCCAAGCCTCTGGCTGCTGGCCTGGGATAACCAGCTCCCACTTGGATTGGACTCTGCACCACAGAAAAGACTTTTTTTGGCACAAGCCTGTGCCCTTCTTGGCAAGTTGTCGTTCAGCACGAAGCCAAGCCGTTGGCATCACCAGCACAGGAGGGGCAAGCTCTTTCTGCCTTACAATTTTCACCTTTCACATGTGAAGGGTCCCTCTGCTAATCTCCTCACTGTGTTTTGCTGTGTCTATCCCACATGTTCTGTAGCAAAAGGCTTTGCAGTTGCAATCCCAAGTTGCTCAGCTTTGCTCCTGCCCTCCATGCTTGTGTTTCTGCCTCTGTTGTAGCCAAATGCAGGTCAGCCTCTTGTCCCTGGTAACAAGTGATGGGGCAAGAGGAAATGGCCTCAGGCTGTGCCAGGGGAGGGTCAGATTGGACATCAGGAAGCATTTCTTCATGGAGAGGGTGGTCAGGCATTGGAAGGGGCTGCCCAGGGAGGTGGTGGAGTGCCCACCCCTGCTCAAATTATCATGGTCTAAAAAACCTGTAACTTTTCCAAGCCCCAAGACTAACCAAAGATAGTGGCTCACAGACCTTGTGTAATGTTCATGGCTCGTTCCATGGCCACCCACCTGGGACTTGGCTGACTTGGCCAGGGAAGGCAAAGGAACAAAATCTCCACACAGAGGCTCCTGGAAATGCTCCTGGAAATGCTCCTGCACTGTCTGAGTCCTCGCTGACGGTGTTTTCCCTCCGTCCCTGGCAGAGAAGTGCCCCGTGGACAATGCCAAACTGACGGTGGTGGTGAACAACATCGCGGTGGCCGAGCAGATTGGGGAGCTGTTCATCCACTGCAAGTACGGGTGCCGAGCCGCGGCCAGCAGCAAGCCCACCGCCTTCGAGGTGGATCCCCGCGGCTGCCCCTTCACCATCAAGCTGAGTGCCAGGAAGTGAGTGCCCTCTTCCAGCCTCTTCAGGGAAGGGGCTGTGCCAGCCCCTCACACCGGAGCTGCCCTGGGGTGCAGCTCCTGCCAGCGCTGCTCTGCTGGGCTGTGCCGGCACCGGGAGTGGGCAGGGGGGGTGGAGGGGATAAATCAGTCCTGGGTGGTGGTACAGGGGCTGGTCTCAGGTGAAGGATGCTGGTCTCTGCTCCCAGCTCACCTGAGTGCCAGCACTGGGACAGGGACCCTGTGAGAGCAGCCCCCCTCACATCTGGGATGAAACACTGTGGTATGGTCAAGCAGAGACCTTGGGGTTCTTTTTGTGAGAGGAACCCTCCCCATCCCAAGTGCATTCCCTGTTTTCCCTATCATCTGGCTGTTGCCTGTTGTTTGTGGGTGCCTGAAGGCTCAGCCCTTCAGCTGCAGAAGTGGATGTGCCCTGTGTAAACATGGCCTGTTATTACTCCCCATTTTCTGGCCAAATGGGGATTAAAAACTGGAACTGCAGTCTTAGAGCGGGAGGCTTTGGACCTGACAGCCTCACAGGGCTGGTTTGCTCCTTTCCTGACAAACTATGTTGCTTCCATTAATTTCTGCTCATTGCTGATTTTCCCTGCTTGTGTTTCTCTCCATGGGCAGAGACCATGAGAGCAGCTGTGATTACCGGCCCGTGCGTTGCCCCAACAACCCCAGCTGCCCTCCTCTCCTCAAAATGAACCTGGAGGCACACCTGAAGGAGTGTGAGCACATCAAGTGTCCCCACTCCAAGTACGGGTAAGGACTTGATGCTTTTGAGTGGGGAAAGTGCACTGAAGGTAATTCCTGAGCTGCCTTTTTGGTCGCTGCAGCCTTGGGGTGGCCCCAAGGACTCTGAGCAGCTCTCCTGAGGCCAAGCTCAGGATCACAGGGGTTGCAGGAGGCAACAAAGGGTTGTCCAGGCCCACCACCCAGGGCAGTGGTGGAATCACAATCCCTGCAGGGACTTAAAAGCTGATGTGGCAGCTGGGGACATGGGCTAGTGGTGGGCTTGGCAGTGCTGGGGGAATGGTTGGACTCAGTGGTCTCAGAGGCTTTTTCCAGCCTCAGCAATTCTATGATTCTATGATCCTAAGACATGTCTTGGCAGAGGCAGAGTAAGACAAGTCCTGGCAGAGCATCCCTGACTCCCTGCCATGCTGCAGGCCCTAGTCAGCATCTGCTGAGGTCAGCTCCAATATTTTCCACTGATTTTGGTGCTCCTGGTGAGCACATAAACCGACACCACACTGTCTCTTGCCCAAGATCTGCCTTTTCTTGCAACTACCCAGACCAACAGTCCTGTTTGGGGCCAGTGCTCTGGCTGGAAGAACAGGAGCTGCTTGGCCTCCATGTTGCCCCGCAGTTGCCTCCACCCAGCAGGATCATTAAGATTGGAAAAGACCTCCAAGATTATTGAATCCCTCCTTTGGAGGATAATGGACCACAGTAGCCCTGCTCCTGGTGGGAAGAGCAGGACGGCCTGGGAGCCACACAGGCCTTGGAGCTGCAGTGGGGAGCCAGCTGAGCAAGGAGTCTCCGTGGGAGCCCTGCTCCAACCAGCCTCTGCCTTCCCTTCAGGTGCACATTCATAGGGAACCAAGACACTTATGAGACCCACCTGGAGACGTGCAAGTTCGAGGGTCTGAAGGAGTTCCTGCAGCAGACAGACGATCGCTTCCATGAGATGCAGGTGGCCATGGCCCAGAAGGACCAGGAAATCGCCTTCCTGCGCTCCATGCTGGGGAAGCTCTCTGAGAAAATCGACCAGCTGGAGAAGAACCTGGAGCTGAAGTTTGGTGAGTCTGCACTGGACGAGCTCTCTGGGCAGAGCTGTAGGAACGGGGAAGCTCTTTGTGTGGATGATGCATTACAGGTCTCATTCCATGTTTAAAACTGGTGCTGAGCAGATTTTAGGAGGTTCAGATATTCCTTGCAGAGGGACAAATAGGGGTTCCACTGACTTTGCTGCCAGAATATCCTGGGACCTAATCCTGCAGTCACTGGTCACGTGGCCAGTCCTAGAGATGTCTACAGGCAGCTGCCACCTTTCTCCTGTGGCTTCTTCTGTGCAGTCCCTGGGCACAGGACAGGCCCCTATAAAAATCAGAGAGTCAAATAGCCAACAGTGCAGCCATGCTGGAGTGAACAGGGCCCTTGGACACCTCTGCTCTGCCAGCCCTGTCTTGCTCCCAGATTTGCTGGTTCTTCAGCATCCAGGTACAACTTCCATTTGAGGAGCAGGCACGCTCCTGCTTTCCCGGCCGATAGCAGCAGTGTGTCCTCCCTCTGTGTTCAGAGGCTGGGTGGCAGTTGGGTGTCCCCTGCCTGTTCCCTGGGATGCCCTCAGTGGCTCTGCAGTGACTGTGGGCCTGTCCTTCTCTTGCAGACGTTCTGGACGAGAACCAGAGCAAGCTGAGCGAGGACCTGATGGAATTCCGCAGGGACGCCTCCATGCTGAATGTGAGGAGGGGCCCTGGGCTGGAGCAGGGATTGCATGGAGTTAGCTGGCTCTGCTCCTATAGGCTTGTCCTGCAGTGGGAGAAGCCCTGGGGTCCCCCCTGCTTGCTGGCTCTGCTCACCCCGGGTTTGGTTTGCCTTTGCTGCAGTTGAGGTCTGGGAGAGGGTCTGAGTTAGAGGCAGCCCCGTGAGCACGTGCTGCTCACGGCATCGAGGCTGCTGCTGGAGCTGGCTCTGCTGCCTTTTCTCAGCCTGTTGTTGTTCTGAGAATGAGTTAACAGAGGAAAGGAGCTCTGCAGCAAGGGAAGAACCCTCTGCTCCAAAGCCTGGGCCTTTTGCACTTGCCAGGGACACTGTACCCTTCTCCCTGCTTGTGGAAAGCTCACACGGCTTGTTCTGTTTTTCAGGACGAGCTCTCGCACATCAACGCTCGGCTCAACATGGGCATCCTCGGATGTGAGTACCCCTGTGGGCTTCCTCCCCTGGGGCTGGCTGTGGCTGGTGGCCCAGGGAGCTCTTTTGGGCAGTGCAAAGGAACAGCACTGCCCTCCCACCTCTCACCTGCCCTCTCCTTTCTGCAGCTTATGATCCTCAGCAGATCTTCAAGTGCAAGGGGACCTTTGTGGGCCACCAGGGCCCCGTGTGGTGTTTGTGTGTGTACTCCATAGGAGACTTGCTCTTCAGTGGCTCCTCAGACAAAACCATTAAGGTAAAAGCTTGTCTCTTCCGTGCACCTTCTGCACTGTCACGTGGGAGAGAAGCTGAGTTCAGTTTGTGGGGTGGGGGGATGTCACTTCCTAAACTTTCTCCCAGAGAATCTTAAATGATTCTTTGTGATTATAGTTGGGCAAAGTTCTCTGCGAGGAAACATTACTTGATGGTGAAATTGAGAGTCAAGAGTTATTTTTGCAAAGCCCAGATTAGAACCTCATCCCTGCTGCTGCTGGATTTGCTTTATGTGGTGTTTAGGGTGTTCAAGCCTATTTCAGCTTCTGATTTTATTTTCCTTTGTTGTAAAAAGTCATTTTAGAACAAAGCATTTGTCCCTGATCCAATGTGTCCTTTTCCCATTTTATGGCATGTTTGTTTTCCTTTGTCCTGTTTGCAATAACTCAAACTGACAGCACTGCTCTGGTGCAGCCCTTCCCAGTGTCACTGTGGTGGCTGCTGGCTGGGCTGGGGACCCCCACGGGCTGCCACAACTAATCCTGCCAGAAGCAGAGCTTTGGTTTAGTTTCCTTGGTCTTAGAGCCACGTGGAAGAAAACAGATATTGTTGTACTTTAGGGAAAGAGAACTCCCCTGTCCTGGCTGCACATTCCCTCCTGAGAGAGCAGAGTGTGCTCAGGGGGAAAACCTTTGCAGTGGCAGAGGAGGCTGTGCTGTGCCACTGGAGCCCTGGGACAGGGTGGGAATTGCTGGAGCAGGAGCCTGAGAGCTGCTCCTCTTGTTCAGTGTGTTGTGTTGGCCTGGGCTGAGGAGGACAGAGCTGCAGAGGGCTGATACCTGCTGCTGGCCTGGATCTCACTGGCTTCAGCCTGACCCTTTGCAGCAGATTTCCTTTCCCAGACAAGTGTATCCGTGCCCAGGGCCCGGCAGGCAGTGCCCAGGTGACAGACAGCCTGTTTCCTCCTTCCTCTGCTGACATCCTGCCCGCTCCCCAACTCCTGCCTTGTGTTTCCTGTTAGGTGTGGGATACCTGTACCACATACAAGTGCCAAAAGACCTTGGAGGGTCATGATGGAATTGTACTGGCTCTCTGCATCCAGGGGTGAGTGGAGAGGGACATCTGCCCCTGGGAAGAGCAGGGCATGGGGACTCCTGAGCATGCCCTGACAGTTCCCATCCTCTGTCCTGCACGGGCCAAAAATGTGCGTGAGAGGCACATCTTGCCTCTTTGCTTTTTAAAAACGGATAAAGCCCTGTGTCCTGGCTGTGTCCCTGGTCACCAGCAGGGTGCTTGGCCTCCTGCTCCAAGGGCCAGTCCAGCCTGGCCTCCCACAAGCCAGGAGCCCCACTCTCGGGGTGGGCGTGTGTGGCCTTGTCCCAGTGAGGCCGTGGGGCTGCAGCTCCTGGCCCAGACGGTGCCTGGGGATGAGCTGGGACCCTGCACGTGGCTCTGTCCCTCCCTGACCCCCCTTTGTCTTCTGGTGACATTCCAGGAACAAGCTGTACAGTGGCTCTGCTGACTGCACCATCATTGTGAGTACCCAGACCCCGCTCTGCAGCCGGGATGGGAGAGCCACGGGCTGCTCACGAGCAGGGACCTTCTTCTGGAAGGCTCTTCAGCTGCCAGTGGTGTGGGACTGAAAACCTGTGTGTGCTGTATCCACTGCCAAGTCACTCAGGGGTTGGATTGGGGGGTTTCCTGCAGGCTGGATTTCCCAGTCCCTGCTCCTGTGTGGGGAGCAAGAGGCTGGTGCTGTGAGCTGGGACAGGGTGATTGGTCCTGGTCAGCCAGGACAGTGGCTCAGATGAGTGCCCTGTATGGTCATTCCCTGCCTCCAGAGGCAGAGAGGAAGGGCCTCAGCACAAGGGACCTGCCCTGCCCCTCAAGGGTGCTCCTGCTTAGTGGGTTTGGCAATGCTGGGGGAAGGGTTGGCCTCGATGATCTCAGAGGGCTCTTCCCATCTAAACCATTCCGTGATTCTGTGATTGTCCTTTGCAGGTCTGGGATATTCAAAACCTGCAGAAGGTGAACACGATCCGAGCACACGACAATCCTGTTTGCACTTTGGTCTCCTCACACAACATGCTCTTCAGTGGCTCCCTCAAAGCCATCAAGGTACAGCTCAGCGGGCTCCCCCGGGGCTGGTGTGGGACCAGGGGTACAAACTGTCAGGCAGAAGTGTCCAAACAGGAAGAAAGTGGCATTTTGGTCTGTAGGTGACCTTGTTGCTATGCTCTCCTGAGCCACAGAGAAGCCAGCACTGCAGAGGTTTAGCCCATGCTCTGCTCTCAAGTCAAAGGTGTTCTGGGACCTGGCTGCAAAAATTCTTCATTTCTTCTAACTCCGTAAACCTGAGGCTGCAGGTGGAGTATCCTGGCAATTCCCAAGTGTGTGTGTCCTCGGGCCCCCAACAGACCTGCTCAGACCGTTAGGAATCGTGTCTGGGCTCCAGAATTGGCTGGGGATTCAGGCTGCCTGTTTTGAAACCGCCTCCAAAGGATCTTGAGTCTGCATTCTCTACCTAAAACATGCAGAAATCAGGGAACAGCTTTGCAAGCTGCCCTTTAAAGCCTTGGCTGGATTCCCGTGGTTCTGCTTCCAGCTCCTGGTGAGGCAGCTTATGGGCCCGTCCATCTGTAAGAGGATGTGTGCTCTTTTCTTTAACTGGGGCCTGCACTGGTTCAGCTCTGGAGAGAGCTCAGGGCTGGGGGAGCAGCCAGACTGAGCAGAAGGAGAATATGGGGCCTTTTGGGTTTGCCATCCCCAGCCACTTCCTGCCAGATGAGCTGAGCAGGCCAGGAGTGAGTGCTGCTCAGAGTGGGGACTGAGATCTGTCAGTCCCTGCGTGCCAGGGGCTGGGAGTGGAAGCTCAGGGCAGTTCCTTACTGCAGCTGTGGTTTAGGTTTTCAAGCCTGTGGCTGTGCTAGGGAAGGGTCTCTGCCAGCAGTAATGCAGTCTCCAGGCTGGCTCCCTCAGGGAGCGTGCTGACTCAGCAGCTGTGTTTTATCTGCAAGTCCGTGGGTTCAGGCCATTCCCAGCGGGCAGCAGAGCTGGCACAAGGATCCCCACAGAAGCTGTGAGGGCCTCTTGCAGGGTGGGGAGCCCTGGCCATGTTCTGCCCAGCCCCACTGGGATTCTCCTCCATGTCTGTGTCTGTGCTTTCCACAGGTCTGGGATATCGTAGGTACTGAGCTCAAGCTGAAGAAGGAGCTGACAGGTCTCAATCACTGGGTGCGAGCGCTGGTGGCTTCCCAGAACTATCTGTACAGTGGATCCTACCAGACCATCAAGGTGGGGCCCCGGCACTGGTGGTTCCCAGCAGCTCTCCCTGTGCCCCTCTGTGCTCTGCAGCCTGGCCTGGAGGAGCAGGACGAGGCAGCTGCTGAGATCTGAGATGACTGCTGGCATGGGATGACTGACATGGGATTCTCCCGTGCTGATTGCATCTCTGCAGGCTGGGCCTTGGGAGCTGCTGGGGAGGCTCACTGGGACGAACTGGGCCCTCAGCCCTGGCGCCTCTGTGGCTGCCGCAGCCTTATCTGTGCTCCCACTCCTGCTGATAACAGGGCAAGGTCACTGTCTGGCTGCAGAGTTACCACAAATCTGTGAGGGTTCCCAGTGCCCTCCCCACTCTGTGCTGGCTGAGGGTTTGATGAATACTTCACCTCTCAGCATCTAGGGGACACAGAACTGGAAGTTGCCCTCCTCCATGCTCATAAATCCCTGGTAATTTGTCTGCACCAGGTTTTAGTGCTATCAAGGAGAGGGTTGTGTGTGCACATGTGTGTGTAGTCACACACACAGGGGCAGCAGCGTTTTCAGCCTGGATGTTCAAAGCTGGGCAGCCAATTAAGACAGCAGGGCTTTGCTCATCATCAGTTCTGAACATTCCCAGCTGGATAGATTTGTCCTTGAAGGTGTGATCTGGGCACACACGGAGCCAGGCTGACTCAGTGCGTGGCAGCACGGCTGCGAGAGATCTCAACCCTGGAGAGGGGTCCCTGCACGGGTCTCATCCTGCCTCTGCTCCGGTGTCTCCTTCAGATCTGGGACATCCGCAACCTGGAGTGTGTGCACGTGCTGCAGACGTCCGGGGGCAGCGTGTACTCCATCGCCGTCACCAACCACCACATCGTGTGCGGCACCTACGAGAACCTCATCCACGTAAGGATGGACTGGGATGCGTTCCTGGCAGGGGGGCTGGGGCAGAGGGGCTTGGAGATGGGCACCTGGCCCTGCCTGTCCCCTCTGGCACACCTGGAGCGTGGGGGCACAGCACCCACCCTGGAGGTGGAGGTGGAAACACCTCTCGGAGGAGAGGGCGGTGGCCTCGTCCCGGCACAGCCTCGAGCCCGACTCTTCCCCCGCAGGTCTGGGATATAGAGACAAAGGAGCAGGTCCGCACGCTGACGGGGCACGTGGGGACAGTCTACGCCCTCGCTGTCATCTCCACACCGGATCAAACCAAAGTCTTCAGCGCCTCGTACGACCGGTCACTCAGGGTACGTGTGCGGGGCCGGGCAGCTTCCCCTGGCAATCTGTGACGGCACAGACGGGGATCCCCATCCCTCGGTGTGGCACCTCCCTCAGAGCCTGTGACATGAGATCCCCCTTCCCTGCCGGTGCTGCCGGGCTGTGGCGCTGGCTGGGCTGACGCCCGCCGTGTTCCCTCAGGTGTGGAGCATGGACAACATGATCTGCACCCAGACGCTGCTGCGGCACCAGGGCAGCGTCACCGCCCTCGCCGTGTCCCGCGGCCGCCTCTTCTCCGGCGCTGTGGACAGCACTGTAAAGGTGGGTCACCCCAGCCTGCTCCAGGGTGGTGTGTGCTCTTCCACTGCTGGAATTGGGGCATTAAATGAGCCAGGAATTGTCTTCAAACAGACTGACGGGAGGTTGTAGCAAGGCGGGGGTCAGCCTTTTCTCCCAGGCAGCAAGTGACAGGACAAGAAGCTGTGCTAGAGGAGGTTCAAGTTGGGACATCAGGAAGAATTTCTTTGCTGAAAGGGTTGTAGAACACTGGAATGGGCTGTCCAGGGAGGGGTCCAAGAAATGACTGGACATGGCACTCAGTGCCCTGGTCTGGGTAACAAGGTGGGGATCGGGCACAGGGTGGACTCCATGGTCTCAGAGGTCTTTTCCAACCTAAGTGGTTGTGGGGTTCTGTGACACAAGGGGGTGGTTCTCAGCGGGTGGGAGGCTTCACTCCTGGCAGGGTGTTGTGGATGCTGGCAGCCCAAAGGGAGGTGCTGTGGGAGGATGAAGAGAAGCCCCCAGAGCTGCTCCGGAGTCACTGCCGTGGGTTCCCTTGTCTCCGCAGGTCTGGACGTGCTAATGAGAGCGTCACACTAGTCCTGCACACTGAAAGACCAAAAATTCTCCCCTCCATCGGCCTGTGGGTGACCACATCCTCCGAAATGACTGCTGCAGCTCCTCCTGCACCAACCACTGCCTGCTGCTGCCCCTGGGCCGGCCCCCCCCGCAGGGATCCTGGCTGGCGGCTCTCCCGACGGGTCTGCCCTATGGATGCTCCAGACATTCCCCCAGACCTGCCCTCGATGATTGGAAAAGGAGGGGAAGCAATTCCAGTGCCAGTGCCCTCCTCTGCCTGCGCCCTCCCCAGCTGGGGACACCCCCTGGGGCCGGGGCTGGGGTGACTCTGGGCCCCGGGCCGGGCGAGCGCAGCCCTTGGCCAGTGACGGGACTGGACGGGTCAGCGTGCCCCGGTGGTGACACTGGGAGGCTGCTCCCCTGGCCATGGTAGGACTGAGCATTAGGGCCTGCCCTGGGTGGGCACCCGACCCCTTTCTGTCTCTAGTATTTAATTTTACTGCCAAGGCGCCGGGCCGATCCATCCAGGAAGAGGTGTTTCCTTGAGTAGCCAGGTACGATTTTTATGCCACAGCTAGTTCTCAAATCAAGTTCCACAAGCCCATCGTTCACCACCCTGTAATAATGGTCTCCACATTAAAGACAAAAAGCCTCCGTTGCATTTTTACTCACATTTTCTACTGTTTTTAAGATTGTAATATAGATTTGATTATTTCTTCATTGACAATAAAAGCAGAAAGAGTTGTTCCTGCCCAGCGTGAGTTATTGCAGGGAGCCAGCGACCAGCACTGGCCCTGTGGGGTGAAAATTGGGATGCAGGGACCAGGCCCCTGACAGCAGCTCCCAGACAGCCAGGACCCAGCACCCCACAGAGGCACCCAAGGGTGCCCTCGGACCGTGCAGCACAAACCCCCCGCACGACACCGAACACCCGGCATGACACAACCACGCCACGAGGACTCGGGATGCTCTGGGGACACAAACAGTGGTGGCAGCCCGGCAGGGGTTTTATTTTTTTTATTTTTCTTTAAATACTGGTTGCCAGACTTGGTATAGGAGCAAACGTCTTCACAGCACCACGAGCCATCTACTATTCAGAATAGGAAGAATAAGGACGAGTAGAGGTGAAATCTAAGCACAGAAGAGCAGGGAGCAGCACCAAGATGCAGAGCTGGACAGATGGGATACAATACAGAGTCCATAACTTAATAATAAAAAATATATATATGTATATATCCATCATGTAGAACTTTATGGATTTTTTTTTTTTTTTTTAGATACATATTTGTTTTTCTTTTCAACAGATATTTTCAGGCGGGTGATTTTATTTATTTTTTTTTTAATTATTTTTAGAGTCTTTTTTTTGTTTGTTTTTGATTTTTTGTTGTTTTTTTTTTTAAAAGAAATTTCAAAGTTGTGCCAAACACATCTGGATCAGCGACCACAACGGGAGAGACAGGGAGAGAGGAAAGGGGGGAGAGGGAAGAGGGAAGAGGGGAGAGACCACTCTACGTCTCAAGAAAAGAAAGGAACAGCAACACTTTTGTTTGGAAACCACAAGCAAAAAATGCATTCATCAGGACTCAAGCGACTGAACCAGACTCCAACTCCAGTTTATACAGGAATATACAGCAGTGCATCCCGGAGGATGCACACGAGCACACGCACCCCGCGTGCACACCCACGCACACCACACACACCCCAAACAAATACCGACGGCAAAAACAACCAGGAGAAACGGAACCAAACCCTGAAGACACTCCAAAAAAAGAAATGAAACACCTCCAGTGTAAGAATTAACAAAAACCTCCATAAAACAAGGCACATCCTTTGAGTTCGTAATGGTGGAAAAAGAAAGACGCGACACTGAATCCCAACGGAAAACCCGACCAGAACCGCTCGCACGTACCTTCCACCCAGAGAAAAGGTAAATATTGTGCTACTCGTAGAATGAGTTTGCCACAAGACACACAGCTTAGTATAATCTAATAGTTTTTCTCAAGCTAAAATCCAGTTTTCTCTCGATTTCTTTTAAACTGCTTTATATATAATTGCTAATATTTTAAAATCTTTTAAATATATATTTGTTAAAGTTTATTTCTTTTTATTATTTTTTGGGGGGGTGGGGGAAATCTGCTTTATATCTTTTTTTTTTTATTATTATTATTTTTTTTTTTTCCCCTCCAATAAATTAATACTTCTTTTATAGCTTATCACCGTCCTGTCCCCGGGCGGGGAGGGGCCGGGCAGGGGCACGTCCCGCTGCCCCCGGGGAGCCGCCAGCCCGGAGCTGCCCCGGCCGCCCCCGCCAACCCCAACCAACCGAGAAAGAAAACAAAGTTCAAAAAATAAAATTAAAAACAGAGCAAAGAAACCCAAGTGCATTTTGCCCACCCGGCCCCGCCACCTGCAAACGCCATCGGTGCCACGTGGCTGGCGGAGCCGCTGCCGGGGCCGCCGGGCAGGGCTTGTGCTACATTCGGGTCGCGGTGACCCGCGGCGCCAGGGCTGGCAGGGCCCCCCCAGAGCCTCCCAGAGCCCCGGCAGCGGTTCGGTCCGGACGTGTTGCTTTGTTTCTTCTGTTGGGTTTTATTTTTGTGGGTTTTGTTGTTTGTTTTGTTTTCTGTTTGTTTTTTTTTGCTTCTGCAAAAGGGAGTCCTGCCGGAGCCGGCGCCGAGTCCGTGAGCACAATCCTGAGGTATCTTCTTCTTTGTGCAAACCCCGAGGGACGGGATGTCCGGGAGGGGACGGCTGTACAAAGGGGACAGGGGGGAGGGCGGCGGGGCCGGGGGGTCGTGGATCGTTGTGCCCTTGTGCCCACGTAAGCCCTGAGGTTCGCGGGGCCCTGGCGCCCCTCACTCCAGCATGGCATCCAGCTGGTCCGCCAGGTCGTCGAACATGCTGCCGATGTCGTCCAGGATGCTCACGGTGCTCTTTGACTCCACGGCCGAGCTGGAGAGTGACCGGGACAGGTCAGGGCCACGCACAGGACGAGGACACCACACAAGCCCCCGCCACGCCGTGCCACGGCCCTCCTGCCCCACTGCCATGCTCAGCACTGTGCCCCACTGTCACTGCCCATACAGATCCCAGTGCTGCTACACAGCGGTCTGGCTCAGTGTCCCCAGTGTCCCCTCTCCAAGACAGCCCCCAGTGCACCCACATGCCCAAGTCTCGCTGCCCACGCTGCTCCACCCAGTGTCCCTCAATGTCACCTCCCCAGTGCAGCTCCAGAGAAGGTCCCTGATGCTCCACCAGTGTCCCTCAGAATCCCTCCGGCACCATCCTACTCCCACCACAGGGCCACATCCCAATCCCTGCCCGCAGCGCTTGTGGCCTCTTGTGCTCAGTGGCACAGCACGGTCCCACACCCTCCCCATGGACCGACCACCCCCTGCGCCCTCTTACTCTGCCTGACTGTCCTCCTGCTTGATCTTCTCCTCCACGGCCTGCAGCGCAGCAGCCAGGGACGCGCTCGTCTCCTCCAGCTTCTGTTGCGCCAGCTCGGGGCCGGCGCTGTCCACAGAGGGGCTGGCGATGGTGGAGCGCGGCGGCTTCACCGGCACCTGCTGGGGCTGCGCGCCGGGCGAGAGGGGCTTGGCAGGGCTGGAGCAGAGCGAGGGCGGGGTGCTGGAGGGCTTGCTGCCCGCGGGGCCCAGCTGCCGGGCGGGCGACGGGGCCGGCGTGGAGCTGGCGCTCACCGACTGGATGGCGGCGTGGGGCTTGGGGGGCTTGGGCGCCGTGGGGGGCGGCGTGGGCTTGGGGGACACCGGGGGCGGCGTGCCATGGACCCGCTTCACCTCTGCGGAGAAAAGGGACAGGGGCAGGAGGGCGGCAGGGCCAGCTGGGACCCCCGGCCTCCACCCTGGGGAGTGCCTGTCCCAGGGATCTGGTGGGGCACCTACCTGGGCTGCCGGGGCTCGGGATGGGCACCTTTTTGGGGACGGGCACTGGCGGCCCAGGCACCTTCTGAGGTGGCTGCGTCAGCACGGGCTTTGGGGACACCGGTGGCTTGAAGGGCTTCTTGGGCTCGGCAGGTGGTGGGATGTAGTCGGGGCCGTCGGGGCGGGCGGTGGGTGGCGGGGTCGGGGGTGGCTCAGCCCCGCTCAGCTCGGAGGCCGGCCGCCGCTTCACGGTGCCGGTGCCGTTCTGGTACACGGCGAGTGTGGCCGGCTCCAGCGCCGGCTCCTTGTCCTTGGCCTTGGGCCGGCGCTTGACGGTGTCGGACTCGGTGAGGACGAAGCGGACGCCGTCCTGCTGGCTCTGCCTGGCCCGGATCCGCCGCTTGAGTGTGGCACTGGCCTCCACCTTGGCCAGCTCCCCGTGGCGGTGGGCTGGGGACAGCCCCTCGCCCGCCTCCCCTCGGGCCGGCCCCAGGGGCCTCGGCCGCTGCTTGATGGTGAGGGTGCCCTCCTCGGCGAAGGGGATGCCATCGGGGGAACCGCCGCGCTCCACCCGCAGCCGCTCGCCGGGGCTGTCGGCACCCGCCTCTGACCGCACGCTGTCGGCGCGCTCGCGGCGGGCGGCTGCCACCAGCCCGGTGACAGGGCCGCTGATGGTCCGGCGCCGGTTCACCACCTCCCCGTCCAGCCCGATGGCCTCCTTGTGCTTCACGGTGGCCAGGACGGTGGCCACACGGGCACGGTCGGGGCTGCCCGGCGGGGGCCCCGGCTGCAGGTAGTAGCCGTCGGGTGCCTTGGCCGGCCCAGGCCCACCGGCCACATGCGGTTTCTGCATGGCCAGCGCGCGGGCCCCGCCGCCGATGGAGGACATCTCCAGCATGGCCGCGATGCTGCGCACGCTGCCGGCGCTGCCCGTGTCCACGCTGCCGCCCAGGTCGCTGGCCCGCCGCTGCTCCCGCCGGCTCTCCCCCTCAGCGCTCGGGGGTCCGACGGCCGCCTCGCCCTCACCCTCCTTGGGGAAGTCCTCGGCCATGCCGGCGCTGGAGATGGCGGAGCTGGAGCGCTTGGGAGGGGGTGGGGGGGGTCCCTTCTTCTTGGGGCGGACGGCGAAGGACTGGCTGCGGTTGACGTTCTTGTCTCCGCCGGCGGCCGCCCGCACCGAGTGGCTGCGGCCCACGCGCCGCTGGACGGTGGCGTAGGGCCCCGCGTCCGGCACCAGCAGCTCGTCCCGCTCCTGCTCGCTGTCGGAGGCGGTGTAGCGGTTCAGGCTGTGCGCCCGCTTCTTCGGCCTCCCCGGCTCCTCCTCACCCTCACCCGCCGGAGGCAGGCACAGCACTGGCACAGAGACGGGCAGGACGGGCACACCTGGCGGTGCCCCCTCGCTCTCGGCGGGCTGCGGCAGGACGTAGGCGAAGCCGCGGTGGGTGGGTGACTGGGGCAGGGAGCGGGGTGACGCGGGGCGCTCGCCGGGCGGCAGCAGCTGTGGGGTGGGCTTCACCTTGGCGGTGGCGTGGGGCACAGCTGGCCCTTGTGGGGAGGGGGGCCGCGCCTTGCCGGGGGTCTGTGGCGGCGTCAGCTGCCCGGTGGAGGGCGGGAAGGGCTGCCGGGGTTTGCCGGGCACCGGTGGCACGCTGGCACGCTTCACGGGGTGGCCGTGCCGGGGCGGGCGTCCCTCCTTGGGTGGTGCAGGTGGGCCCTCACCGGCCCCCTCCGCCAGGTATTCCTGGCTCTTGGAGATGGCAGCGGCAGGAGGACCCCGCGGGCCGTCCCCCAGCAGCTCCTGGGAGCTGCTCATCAGCCTGGCACGGCCACCCAGGCCCGGTGGCGAGCGGTAACCGGGGGC